ACAAATATTATTATAAATAAAAAATTATTTATTTATCTTATTATTATATTATATTATTAATATATTTATTTTTTCGAGATTCTATATTTAATATTATTTTTTTAACAAAACTATATATATTTTTATCATCGCGCTGCTACAGCTGAGATAAAGACCAATTCAGTGACCCATATATGAAAATATGATCTTCATATAACCTTGAATAAAAATTCAGAAATATATGGGAGTATGAATAATGAAATTATGGTACAGAGGCTATGATAGAAAGAGAGAGAGAGAGAGAGAGAGAGAAAAAAAGAAAAAAAAGAGAATAAAGAAATTTCTTTTAATAAATTCTCGAAATGACGCCCATTAATTCAATATATTTTTGCAGACGATAAATAAACAACTTTTTGATCTCCATGCAATTTTCTGATTAATATTAGCGCATGCAGCTCTATTTCATGTTCTCCCATATTTTCTAACGTCGAGTCGGGACCGGTAAATTTCATCGCAAATGCTACCGACGATAATTTTATCACGTTAAACTCTCACGCGGAGGAGAAACATAGTAAAGGGGCCGGAGAGGGGGAAACGAGAAACGTGTCTAATAGGGTTGTAAAGGTAAAATCGCACGTTTCGTGCAAACGCGAATTACCCAGTGACCTCAATACAGCGCACTTTTCGCCCGCGTTTCTAGTATATAAGCATAGGCAATATCAGTCAGGCACGTGTGTTAATTTTTAAAATACTCAGCCATTTTTAGTCATAAAATGTATATTATGTAAAGAAACTGCTTTAAATTGCAAAGCAAATCAAAATTACTTCTTAAGAAATTATTTAAAAAATATAAAATACAAAGTAGAGAAGAGATAGTATTTTATATATCGTGTACAATATATTGTCAAAAGAAGTTTATATATTTGTTAAAACTCGATAAATAAAATATAATGTCACATCAAGATTCTCACTAGAAATTCTCAGATGCCCTTTAGAGAAAGAGTCCCACCCTCAGCAAGAACTTTTATATTTAACAATTTAATTTTAGATGTGTAAGCCCCCCTCTAATCCCCTTCTAAATCAATAAAGTTAACTTTCACGTGAATCATATTTGTCTTCATCGAATTTGGATTTAGTATAATCCTATTCTTGAATTGAATAAGGACTAATATTGTCAAAGAATTTATCATTCCTAAAGTTGAGGATTTAAGATTGGATATATTAATATTAAATTTGAAGATTACTGAGATTGATTGCGCCGTAAGCACGAAATTTAGATACAAATAATTTTATAATTTACAGTAATAATTATATATATAATTGTTTTTTTAATAATGTGATAAAGTTCTAAGTTTTTTTTATAAATAATTGTGCCGATGCGTGTAGTCTTCATTCAAATGACTTTATCTTTTCCATTTGACACAAGCGTTAGTTAAACCAAATGTCATATGTCATTAAAAATACGTCATTAAAAATAATATAGTTTTGATGCAGCATCGTAGTGCAATTTCTACTGAGCCGCATCGCTTTAGAAATGAAGCCGTTGGAGTCGATGTTTCAACAGAAATTTTTATTCGGCGTTATTTCTGAAGATTTATCAATTTTTAATATTAAACATTATAACGGATGACTGTCGGACTTTGCTACGATAATTGACTGCCAATTGATTCTTACGATCAAAATTCTTGTGTTATACCTGAAGATTGCTTTTCATGACGATAAATGAGAACCATAGTACTTTGAGTGTTTTCCGATGACAGAATATTATTATCACGTTTGTAGATCACTTCGAGAGACAGTGTAATATCTCGCAAATTCTGAACATTCCTTAACTAGACCGCGCTGGAATGGAAAGTTTATGAGAGATTTATTTTCAAGTTTACGGAAGTTTATTGGAAGGAAATCGCTCTTCAGCATAACGATCTTTCTCGCTCTCTCCTTCCCTTCGTCACCATTTTCAAAAGTTAAATTCGAAAACATGATAATAAAAATAATATATCGTCTCTAAAAAAAAAGTCATTCGCGTTAAATAATTGCATTGTAAATAAAGTTAAAACAATCGAATCTAATTAATGAACAATGGTCTAATTCATTTTTAAGCAGCGAGAAAGAAAACAAGTTCTCCCACAGTAAAATTATGTTGTGGCTATTCTCTTCAAAATACATTTGTTTAAAGAAAATTTTACTTTAAATTTAATTAAATATTACAAAAAAATTAATTTGTCATGCTTCGTCTATATTTCTCCGCGGTGCATGCAGTTTCCGAAACTTCAAACACGATTATTTTCTCAAAACTCTAGCTTATGGCATAAACCCAGGCAAATCCTCAATTTAAATGCATTCAGAAATCTCCAGAACGATCTCCGTACAACATTGTTCGTAAAGCAATGCGAGGCTGAGAACAATCGTGAGAAATTAGAGAGTTGTATATATGTATACCAGAAGCGAGTATTATGATGCAATGTGGAAGGGATTTAGATTAAGAATAAAGATAGCATGTACGGATGAATTCTATTACATTTGCAAGTCAAGATTCAATAAAAATTTAAATAATGTTCATTAAGAAAATATAAAAAAAAAATAGCAAAAATACGATTCACGACAAAGACAATAAATGCGTATAACAAATATTATATACATATATTATCATAATATATTAAATACAAAAACATATTTAAAAATATATAAAATAAATATAGTAAATATAATAATAAACTAGGCTTTTGATAATATATATATATTTTTTTTATGTAAAATAATTTATTAAATATTAAATACTCTTTTAAAAGAGCGGTGGTATAGACAATTAAAAAATAAAATTTATGCGATAATAATAAGTCGATATAATTTATCAACTTCAAAGAAACTAATCAATAGCTTTAAATCTACAATAAGTTAGAAAAATATTTGAATGCTTGTATATAAAACTATTAATAAGTAAAACATATCAGAAAAAAAATTTAATGTAATATTTCTTAATATAAGTTTAATATTATCAAGTAATATTTCTTAATATAAGTTTAATATTATCAAATAATCGAATTTACAAAACAAGGTTCTGACTATGCATAAGTATTAGACTGGTCTTTTAATTATCTCCTACGAGTTGCTAATTACTGATAAAGCTGCGATAGAAATGCATTGTGCGAGCTACAGCATCGCATAGTATCCCATGTTGCACAGTTAATTGCGGCAGACAAGCGATCTGCATTCTATCGAACGTTAGTGTGGGAAATTTCGGTACACTTATACCTATACCTGTATAGCATAATGGCTTCAGAATTGGTGGAAATTCCAATTACCAATCATATATGCGAATTAAGTAGTACATCAATTAATACAGAAATATATTTACAAATATAAGGTAAAGAAAGTTAAATTTTCATTTAAATTCGATGACATTTTATTTCTCACATTCGCCACATTAGACTCGTCAATTTTGACTTTTAACGTTATTTTAACATCATTTTCATATTGAGCGACCCCAAAGATCCCGCAATAATCCCGTAATTTCATTAGAATTTGAAAATTCTTCATTCTTTGCAGCTATTTCGAATTTTTGTTCCAATTCCCTCTTCGTTCGTTTATTCAGCGATCATAATGACGTTTAAAAATAATGAAAATTAATGTGTTTATCTTTTCCAGAAAAGTCGACCGTGTTAAACAGTAAATATGCATAGTCATCTTTACATTTATTAAGTCATTTAATTTGACATTTACGTTGCTTATTCCAGTTTTTAAAATATGTCATCGTGTAACTTTTTTTTATGGTAGCGGATAATTTATGGTAGCTAATTGACACAGTAAGCTGACAATCTAATTATACGGCGCGAGTTTCTAATTACCGATCGTATCGCGATGGTGATCGATCCTGACATCATGCTCAACCGTTGCGGTTATGACGTAATGCCTTCAATGGCGATAAGTAATAATACTGTCTGATAAAACTAATTTGAAGTTATTACAATAACAAATTATTACGTTGTCTCTTGAATATCGATCGTAAAAACGTAGATACTAAACCTTCGTATTACATTCCAATTGTCTGAGCATTAAATAGTGAGTTTAAAAGAAATTTTATTATTCATCAGGGATTATATTAATTAATACATTCGAGAATCATGTACTTTATTTCGCACTCAATTTCTTCAATTAATAAAATGTTTTATTATATCTTATCATATCTTATCTCATTTTTACTTTTAAAAATGTGACAAAATATGTTGCACGTATAATATTTCAATAAAATATTAATTTATCTAAAAACGTATATTTTGCTTGTATTTGATGACATTTTACTATCTTTTTCTATCAAAAGAAGAACAACTTAATCTCTTTTAGTTATGAAACAATTTTGTTTTAAGTACACCATTTAATGCGATTAAACTTCACAATTTACTATAATACGCGACAGTCTGAACACTCTAGAACACTTAAATGTTCTCTTTTAAAATAATCCGTGCACTTCTTTTTGTTTTCATTTTAACTAAAAATGTAATTTAGTTTATTAATATAAATATGAATTAGTATATCAATTAATATAAATATCAACTAAAGAATTAAATCAAAGACATTTTAAAAGCATTTTAAGTGTTCTAACATATGTTTGGTTAAACGTAATTTATTGTTTTATTTATTATGTACGTACAATTTATATAATATATGTTTTTTTTCGCCTCCAAAAGTGATTAAAAATGCATTAATTGATTATCCTTTTAGATTATTGTTAAATGATCAGTTAGTTTGTTTTACTTTTTCCAGAAATTTAGAATTCTACATCACCTTGCCATACTTTTCTAACATTTTTCCCTTTCCTTTAAAAAGATAGAAATTCTTTTCTTTCTTTGATTATTAAAGAGACAAAATTGCTGATAAGCTCGTCGATTAAGTAAGTTTAAAGGCAATATAGAAATAGAATCGTGCGATAGATTGAAATAGCTTATCTCTTTCTTAGTAATTAAAATTAATCAATTTTACTCAATTAATCTCTTAATTTGAAAAAAGGCAGATATGTTACTCACTCTGTCTGATTATCCTCAAAAGTCAGGTTGCCTTCGGTATGCACGTATTGCTTGCCGGGTTTCGCAGTGCCCTCCACAGTGCGGTAAGGGATAATAACGCGACCACGAGCCCCACTATAGCGCACCACCCGCAGAGGATGCTGACCCACGCTCTCCACTAGCTCTACATCTCTCTCGGGAAAGCCAAAAATGCCGCTGTGATCGTCATCCAGGATCATTACCGTCGCTAGGCTCGGCGAGACAAGCATTGCTGGCTGCGACACGTTACTGAGCCTGAAAATCAGAAAACGTTAACATTAATTCGTGAAAAATTACACACCGAAACTTCGACAGCAGAAATCGTTCTTTCGATAATATCCGCAAAACAGGATACAACATCAAAAAATTTTTCAAACAAAAAATAGCGCTGTAAATGTTATATCTTTAGATTTATATTTCTGTTATATTTTAGAACAAAGATCTATCAATTTATACAAACGTTATTCATTAATTTTCGCAATGACTAACATAAATAGCTTTCACAAATTCTCGCCTTTCGATTTTTAAGTTATACACATGTTTTAATTTGCAGATTGACAAATCCTCTATTTTCTATCTAAAAATGTCGTTCGGTAGAATACTTCAATCAAGTTCGCACGTAGGCTGGTCTATAATTTCGATGTTGAATATTTGCCATTGAAAAGAGCATTCATCCAAGATTTTATTTTTATCCGTTTGGTCTCCTTTGATATCCCCCTTTTTGAGATAAATAATTTTCTGTTATTTATCTTTACTATTATTTAACCCCTTATATCCTCTCAATGATGTATTATACATGTTATATTAATACATATTATATTAATTTTTTATTTTTACAATATCACATTTTATATCCGTTTAATCTGTAGTATCAATTTTTATTTATAATTGAAGGTTGCTTACTGTAAAATGAAAAGTTAAAGTTGATAAACTTTCGAGTTTAATTTCTCCATTTTTATAAAATGTGAGTTAGCCCACTGTTGCAACTCTTCGATTTTATATTATGTTTTCATATATTATTCTTTACATATAAATACAGAAAATAAAACGTTCTTATAATTCTATAACGTCTCGTCACATAATATATTATAACAGTATATATATATATATATATATGTATATATATATATATATATATATCGTTCTGTTACTTTTCATTATTACTATTCGCGTGCATGCGAAATAATAGGCTATTAATGCCAGCAATAGTCTTTAGATTTCTTTCAGAATTGTGACACGTGCGAAGATTATCAAGCAACAATAGTTTTCTCCTCGACCTATATCGCTAACAATCAGTGCGACTCTTTGTTGTGATCGATGCAGAAGTACAGTGCGCGACTCAACTTCACCGTACGTTATTTTCCTCCGATTTTCCCCAGCCGAATTATCAAGCACGTTTCATCACCACGCTTCACGTATAGATTTAATTGCGCGTGCACGCGTGGTTTCCGCGCGACCTCGCGAGATGCAATCTGACATGCGAGGCAAAGTTAAAATAACAGAAATAAACGGGTCACCCGGCCGAATCAACGCACGAACCTGCAATATTCCAATCGCGAAATAAAATTGATTTACCCTAGCTACTCGTTCCAGTTACGTTATTGCATTTGAACAGAGATACGTGTATCTGAGCGTCCAAAGTAAGAAAGACGAGACCGAAAGGGACCGAAAGAGGAGAGAAAAGAGAAAAAAAAGATAAAATAAAGAGAAACTGACACAAGTCTGAAAATCAACACACATACATACGCTAATTTCACATTCCTCGTCATCTGGAAATACATTTTTATGACACAAAACCGCGTTTCACCGTGACTCTTTTCTATATAAGCATGTGTGTCGCTTTAATGCCGAGGACCACACACGTGGACGTGTTTTATTTCTGTGACATGCTGATGAAAATTTCAAGTCTTCGCCATTTTTACGAATTTACGAGGTTGACAACGCTAAGCGAAAAGAAATTACTAGTTTAAAAAAACGTGATGTTCACATACATTAAATGTTTATGAACTGTATGGTACGCAATCAAAAGTTTTTCTAAGATTTCTAGAAATCAAATGTATAATATATGTTAGGCTTAGATAACTTTATGCAATTTTTACTTTTTTGAGGGAAAAAAAGTTTGTATAAACTTTGCATTTTTAATAGTTAAAACAGTTTTATTATATAAAAGTGTCTGGCTCGATCTAAAAAATCCAATATGTATCTCTGAATATAAAAATATAGTACATAGGATTAAGTATAATCGTTTTTTCTTTATGTCATCACCATTCAATTTTGGCAGACAAAAAATTGGTTGAAAAGAGAATAAAAACATAGTATAAAAAGAGGCATATATTATGGAAATATATTATTATGTATCGTTATTTAATTATCCGTATAATATTACAATATTAAAATAATAATTAAATAATTAAATGCGCCAATATAGGTAAATAAATTAAGCATATTGAATACGACATAATTAAATGAATTAATTAATTACTTAAATTTTAATTTTCTTAAATTCTGTAAATTGTTCTTAATTTTTTAAATTTTCTTTATCCTTCGAGAAATAGATTTGCATATTGTATAAAATACTATTGAAAAATTAATTGAATTGTACTTTCATTGTATTAAGAATAGCGATGTTAATAGCTCTTAACGTCTTTCATTAAATCAACCAACAGCAGCTTATCTACTGATTAAATTGCAGCTGCTACTCGTTTGAAATCACTTGGATGATTGCCTTTTCACCGCTAATCCATGATCTGTGATCACAATGTACTATACCCACTATAGAAATACTTTAAGAATCACGCTTCTTCTTAAAGGAAAATTACAGTTCAATAACTAGCACGATAATTATGCTAGATGTCTCACCGCGTTGATGACAGGCTCTTGAAATAAATTATCGATAAAAATCTCCATATTCAAGTATGTAGACATACTTTACGAATTGTGAAGAGAGGGAAAAAAGAATAAGTGGAAATGTAGGAGTTATCGCAATTTAAATTTCAAAAGGCCAGATATATAAATATGTAAAATTAAATGAAACTTATCTTTCGTTTGATTTTAAATAAATTTTACTGTAATAAATTATAACTTATTTAAATGAGATATATAGTTGTCATAACATTTAAAACTTTTAAAAGTACAATATTTAAATCTTTCGAAACATCACAGAAATGTGATATCAAACAATGAAACTTTAGTAAAAATAATATCGCTAAAAATAAAAAATAAATTAACAAAAGAAGTACAAACTTATTTAAAAATACCTGATATCAAATAACCTCTCTCTCTCTCTGACATAGTTTTAATAACTTTAACAATGTAATTTAACAACAATTATTTTTTCGCTTTAAAAAGCTGTATTTTTTCGGCAAAAAAACAATGTAAAAAATCTCAGAACGTAATATATTTTAAATTATTAAATCTACGATAAAAGATATAATAACTTTGTATAGAAATGTCTATTAAAGTTATATTATAAATTTTAAATGTATTTGACAATCCAATTTTTATGAATTATGAATAATAGATATATCAAATTAATAACAACATTAAACTACTTTTTATTTTAATGTTTGCAATTGTTTGTAATGCAATTCATTAGATTGCTTCATATTTTTATTGATAATACGAGAAAACTGACCGTAACAATTTTTATCATTTTCTTCGTTTCCAGAGTTTAAAGTATGTACTTTCGATAACCACCTTAATATCTTATCGCTAAAATTATCAGAATTTGCTTAACGTTTTACGTAATATTCTACCACCGCAAGTATATATTTGCAAAAAAAAAATCAATCTGACTAACCTGACATAAAAGTGTTCATCCTCCTCGAACAATTCGTCATCGATAACTGAGAGCTTGATAGTCTTCATGGTCTCGCCAGGCTCGAAAGTCAGAGTGCCCTTGGCACTCACATAATCAGATCCCGCCTCAGCGGAGCCATCTTCCGTGCAGTAATCCACGGTGCAGGGTCTGGTGAGATCACCTCCAGCCCTGGAAACGCCCACCTCAAAGGTACCAACGTTCTCCATCACAGTGTAATGACCAGGCTCGAAAAATACTCTCATGGCGTTGACTTGCTCGATATCGATGCTCTCCGCTTCAGCTTTCTGCAACTCGGCCTTGACCTCACTAAGGTCGCTCTGCGCCCGTTCGCTGATCTTCCTGCTGAGGTTGCCCGCGCCTACCATCTTCCTCGTAGCCTGCACCCTGTAAAAGGCCCGACTCTTCGGGCCCTTACCCAGCACTTCCTCGTGAGCCATGACCTCTAATTGCTCCAGCGGCAGGGTGGGATACTTTTTACGCAATTCCTTCAAGGTATTGATGTAATCCCTACGAGTCTGCTCGAATTCCCTCGCCTCCGGGGAATCGGCGTCGGCCAGGCGATCCACCATGCCGATACCATCTTGCTGAGGCTTGATCTCCAGCTCCACCCCCATCTCGGAATCCCCGACCTCCGCCTGCACGATCACACCCCGCTTGTTCATTCGGTAACCCTTGTTCAGATACTTGTATATCAGCAGTCGTCGATCGGCAACGTAAGCCGTCAATACCGTGGCCGGGAAGAAGGAGAAGGTCAGGATGCCCTCCCAGACCTCCAGCACGCCCGGGCTGGAAACCGCCAGGATAACGTAGAGCCACACATAGGCGAAGATGCTCCAGGTGGCGGTGACAAAGAAAACACGGAGATGCTTTATCTTCCGGGTCTCGCCGTTCGGGATCACGAACACGCACAGGGAAATGATAACAAAGAGATTGTACGCGGCGGAGCCGACGATCGTGCCCGGGCCCAGCTCGCCCGCCTGAAAGTTCTTCGCCCAGATCTCGATGATGGACAGCAGGATCTCGGGGGCACTGCTACCGAGCGCCATTAAGGTCAGATTGGCCACCGTCTCGTTCCACACACGCACCACGATGATCTGCGGCTCCCTCCCGTGACGGCGCACCACCAATTCCTTCTCCTTGGACGTGATCACCTCGATGGCAGCCATAAAACGGTCGCTGATGATTGACACGCCGATGAACAAGTACAACAGCAGAAGAAAGTACACCAGGCCCCGGAAGATGATGTCGATTAGATGCAGGTTATCCTCCGGACCCCAGAGCGGTAGCACTAGGCCCGGCTCGCAGCGCGCCGTGTAGTTCCCAGACATATTGTCAGAGTTGCGTGTGTCGAAAATTGCGGCTGGAACTTGGCGCGGCTTACTCTCAGCAGCAGCTCACTTGCCGCGTCTCTTCGGGAATGAAACTCCGCTCAAAATAATCCCGTTCTTCATTCAGAATGAATCGGAGCGATCTTCCTGATGGCAGGCGTTACCTTGACTCGCGGCTCGCGTTTCGCGAGGGTTGAAAATTCTAGAAATTCTCTCCCTTCGAGGGTGGGAAAAAAAAGGACGCAAAAGAGAGTTTCCCTTTTCGAGCCTTCGCGAGAAAAATAATCGAGAATTAAAGACTATTTTCTCTCATTTGCTATGTTTCCCTCGCGCGAATTTTGCTCTCTATTGCACTGAACACTGACTAGAGAGAATCGATGTATTCACCGTTGAAAAACCCGCGAAAAACGTAAACGTAAATCCAATCTTCCGCGTGCGATACAGGCGTGTTTGTTTTCGCTGAAGGAAGGGCGATGACGTTTCGGAACTTCACCCCACGGGCAAGCAGCGATTATACCATTCAAGCCGCGATTTTGTACTAGCCTCACGAGCTAATTTCCTCAGCTTCCTTCACTTATACCCAATTTCGTTTTCCAATCAAGTCTCCGGCATCGTCTCCCCGTTCAAATTGGCCTTGGAGTATTTTTGTCCGTGTGTCACTGCCCTGTCCTCCCCTGCACTCACGCACTCCCGCCCTGCTGACACCCCTTCTCCTTACGCACGCCCGTAAACTCTCTCTCACCCCCTCCCCCCCGGGAAAGGCAGGCTAGTACCGCACGGATAACACTGTGAATGATGGTGCGTATCGGCGTTGGGAATCGGCTACCGATGGAACCCACCGATATTACCGCGGCAGTGAGCTCCCATCACGAAGCGGACCCTCTGGCATCACGGGGTAACAGAACCGTACCGGGCCGCGCTCGAACGAACACTGAAAGAGGAGTGAGAGAAAGAGAGGAGGCTAGAGGAGAGAGCGGCCAGACCGAGTGGGGAGTGGTGTCTCGAGCTAGCCAGACGTGGCCACCCCAACTCACACACTCTCTCTCTCTCTCTCTCTGTCCTCCTCCTCGCCCTTTAGCCTTCTCTCGCGTCTCTCGCTCTAGCCTCGCGCGTCCTCGTCGGCGGTAGTGCGCCGGCGATATCTCCTATCTTGGTCCTCACCATCGTGCCGACGATACCGTCGACCTTGTCGCGGTGGCGGTGCTTCCGTCCTTATCCAATTTACAGCATCGGCGGTGCTCCCCTTCTTGTTCTACCTTACAGTGTGACGGTCCGACCGTCTTTCTCTCGCTCTCTCAACCCCACCGAGTCAAGCCGACCGCGGTGCTTCCGTCCTCGTCTACTCCACTAGGTGTTACCACCGCCCCGGTCGCATACCTTCTATCCTCGTCTAACTTCATCACGCAAGTGTTTTACCCTCTTCGTCGGCCGCGCTGCGCCGGCAATACCAACGAACTCGCGAGGCGGGTATCTCTGTTCGCGAAGAAACGCCGACGCTTTTATTACGTATCTACATGCTGCGTCTCTCCAGTTACGTTTTACGTGGCGCGGTAGTATCTTGTATTCGTTTGTAACGCGGAGTAACAAGGATGCGTCTATATCTTTTTCTAGCAACCCCTTCTCGCCCTTTCCTTTCTTTCATCCATCGCTTTTTCACCCCGTATTTATATCGTTGTCCTCGTCGAACCCTAACACTCTGTCTTTATCTTCTTTTTCTTCTCTCTCTCTCTCTCTCTCTCACCCTCTCTTTCTCTTACCCTATACCAGGGGTGGCTATTGCATGGTGGCAAATTATTCATACAATTCTCATAACGTAATAAAAGAATTTGATTTTATGTTTGATGAATACAGACAGATCGTGTCACACACGCATATCTATTATTTTTTAAATAAAATTTGCCTCTAAAAAATAGAAATTTATAAACCAAAATTAATTTTCCTGTATGCATACAAAGAGTTGTACATGTACAGAGAAAAAGAGAAAGAGGAGGGCAGGAGAGGAAAAAATGAGATAAAGGAGAGATTAAGATTCAACAAGGATAATGGGATGTAGAAAAAGCGATAAATAAAAAAAGAAAGTGAGAGTTCTCTCTCTCTTTCTCTCTCTTTCTGAGTAGATATATTTTTTGTTTTTTAAACATACATATGAATTTTGTATATATAAATACAAGCTTCAGTATATACATTTAAAAAATGAAATGTATATACATACATGCAGATTTCTGTTTGCTTCTTCATATTATGTCTATATATTCATACATAAATAATTTTTATGTTAAAAAGATATACATTTGTCATAGGAGTTTAATAAGAATTAATGAAAATATGTATATGTCGGAAAAAAGGGACGAAAAAGAGAGATGAAGAAAAAGAAAGAATAAATAAAAAAGCTTATATAAAAATATGTATCTTCTCAAAAATTATTAAAATAAGTATCAAGGATGTTTCTTTAATATTTAATTTTAAATTTATATAATTAAAAAATCTATATGTGTAAAATATCTCGATTAGTAATTCCGGATTCTTTGCCTTTCATTGTAGCTTGTTTAAAAAATAATTTTTTGAATTTAATTCCTTCTTTTTCTTATAATAGTTAAGTTTAATTTAAATGATGATGATTTTCCCGATCGTCTTTAATAGGGTGTCTTATAAATAATAATTTAATTTTAATTACTATTGTTCTAAATGAACCTATTCAAATTGCCTTTCCCTTCTGAAGTCATTATCTTGGTCGTTCTTAGATCCTTTCCATTCGTCACCCGGACTACCCATGCCTTTACTCATCCTCCCCACGTTCTCTATTTTCGTCAGAGCTTGCATTCCCTCTTCATTCCCATCCTTTGAGCCAGGAACGTATGCAGAAAAGCAATTTCGTATCTAAAATCATATCCAAATTCCTACAATAATTTATTATTAAAAAAATACTGATAATATTTTTTAAGATAACAAACTTTCATCAAACCAGTCAAGCAAATTTTAATTGTAAAACGGTTGCAAAACATCGTGAAAATCTACGTTAAAAAGAAATTAACAAAAAAGTTAAAATTGAAATTTCGGTACATACATCTTCTGTGTGAATGAATCTCTCCCTCTTATGAAATTCCTATATGCGCTATTGCTCTAAACTCGATCCTTGTCGCACCGGGGGGTGTCCATCCCCTTTCCATTCTCGTTGCACCGCGCCCTCTTCCCATACCTCGGTTTTCGCTGCACGATCGCGCATGTGCGCCACCCAGTGCGCAAGCAACACCCTGAAAGGGGTAGAAGCTCGCCTCGGTATCTTGCATCTAGCTAGCACGGCTAATTCTAGATCAAGTATAGCGAATTTATACGGGCATGGAAAGCATTTGATTATTTCCGTAATTAATTTAACTATCGATGAATTAAATGAATATTAATCAAGTTTTTATTATTCATTATTAGTCATACACTGCATTTGTAATTTTTACTGAATAATCATAAAATAAAAGATTGTCATCTTTATGAAATATTTATATGTTAATTACATGTTTTTAATTAATACATAATAAAATCGTAGTAAAAAATATTTTCAAATTTATTTTTAATGTACTATTATCATTGTCAATCTTTATTAAAAAGCAATTCTCCCAGAATTATGAAGAATTCAACGAAAATGTGTAAATTATTAATGAAATATTATATTGTACGAAAATGAATTGAATATCAATCGACACAGTACAATTAATTTTGCATGTTTTATTTATTTTTAATTAATAAATGCGAATCTCATAAAAGGCTTTCAGGATCCTTTTGATTGACTGAATAATGTGTGTAATCAAAATTACATTTACGGAATTTGCAATGTGATCACTTTTCGATTAATGATTAATGATTTTATTATAATTGATGACAATTGCATCTTTGATTATATTCGATATTCCGATTTTTAATATTTATTGTTATATATGAATATTATGATACAAACATAATCTAAATATAATTTAAATACGACGAGAGGCAGATGTTTTTGGCAACTTCTGCGCGACGTGAAATACGTTTAATCTTGTGGGATGACTTTTTACGCGGCAGAAGAAAAAAAGTGTTCTAGAAGATTTTACCGTCTTCGTGGAAATCGTAGTGACCTTTAGAATTTGATATGCACGAGCTTAAATACTGCGCTCGTTTCCCGCAGCATATTTGCATTTATTTTGCGACGTCGCTGTCGTTAGCTTGCGCTCTCTGTGAAATAATTAGAATGAAAGAAATTTCAAACGCATCGGATTTAAAAATTTTAAAAACACCGGAAAAAGATATGCCATCAGATTGTTTTACAAATAAACCATTAGTTTTTAAATAATAATTTTGTAGTAATCTCTGGAGAAATATGAAAAACTTCGCGCAATTATGTATAGTAAATGTTTAATAAAAAGAATCAAAAAATTGAATTAAAAAAGTAATAAAAGGACAACTAAAGTTTGTGTAACCAATTAATAATGTGTACACTAAATGATCAAAAATACTACAGGCTATTTTAAAACAGTTAAAATTTACAAATCAACATAACAATGCCTTTTAATTCGTATAAAAAAGAAATGTCTGTCTAATGATTAATCAATGAATTGTTACATTTTAATAATATTGGTCCACATTTTCCCCATTTCCGATGATTCTAAATACCCATCATCGTTCAATCAATGAGTTTCGTACTAGATGTCTAAGAATAGGAATCAGATAAGAGATTTTATGTGAACGTAACTTTACGTGCTACTACAAACAAGTTTATTATAATATGTATTTACTTTAAAAAACACAAGCAAAATACATATAATTAAAATTAATTGTGCACGTATATTGTATAATCATTTTATGACAATACATATAAGGATGCATAAATGAACAAGCGTATAAAACAAAGCATTAGCGAAATACAGTCATAATATAATAAATTCGAATAATGCATATGTGAGTAACTATATGAAGCACTACAAAGCGACAATCAAAGTTGGGAATCTCAAAAAAGTAATGCGTTACCATTATTTTTCGTAAAAAGTAACTCGTTATCGTTGCTCGTTACTAATTTTAAAAAGTAACGCGTTACTGTTATTGTTACTTAAACACGATGAATAAAATAATGATTCGCCGTTACTTTTTTGTTATTTTAAAATAGTTTAATTATATTTTAAATTCATAGTATTTGATATAATAATTATTATTAAATGTAAAAAATATTAAAATATTGAAATATTGAAACTTTCTAAATTAGTCTATAATATAAAGCAAATTTTTCTTTATATTATTTTTATAGAAAGTTAAATTAAATTAATTATTTTCAAACAATAATATCATTATTAAAAGTGCATTCCAAATATTCTCTAGTAAATATAATGAATATTCACTATTGAAATAATATATACGTAATGTGAATTATAGATTTTCAATATTAGTAGTGACTATCGAAATGTATAGCTTAATAAGAGATATAGAGAATTTCAAAATATTTAAAAAAATAAATTAAAAATTTATTATAAAATAAAATAATGAAAGTATAAAAAAGTAACGATAAAAGTAACGGCAAATTCCTTACCATTACTGTAAAAATGTAACGATGTTATCATTACCGTTACAGATAGAAAAAAGTAACGATCGTTACTGAAAAAAAAAATAATCAAAAAAAAAATGGTAACGCGTTACTTCCCAACTCTGGCGACAATGATTATTATTTTATCTTTATTTATAAAACTAAATAAGTATCATGTGATACTGAAATTTGATTATTTGTGCAGTACATCTATATGGCAAAAAAAATCATTACCCTCATTTAGTAAATAGCGTTATCATTATCCTCATCTTCCCCATTTTTTTCATCATCGTCGTCTTCATCATTATCGCATAGACACTGTGCGCATTCATTTTCAACACGCATATTCCTTAAATGTACTCTTAAATGTCCCGGAAGTGAGTGGAAAGATTCTGCCTTCAATGCTGGCATGGGATTTTCATCAAGATAAATATTCTTTAGCTCCTTAATGTTCATCAACGATAAGTGGTCCAGCTCGGTGAAGTTATTTCGTTCGAGATGCAGCTCTTGGATGTACCACGAAGACCAATGCGCCGGAAGCTGCCTGAGGCGATTTCCGGAGAGGTCCAAATACTTTAGGCTCAGCAGGTTACGGAAAGCTCGGGTTTCAATGGTGGTTATAACATTGTTCGACAGATATAAATACTCGAGATTCCTCAGGAAGTTGCAGAAAGCGTCGGAGTGTACTGCGCTGATACGATTTCCAGACAGATCCAGGTGATTCAGGTATAACATCGGGCAAACATCCGGTACAGTAACAAGGATGTTATCCGCCAGAGAGAGATTACGTATCATTCTAGTATTATTAAACGTGCCCTTGGCCACATCGGCGATCTTATTGCCTGATAGATCTAACATCAGGAGGCGAGTCGTGTCACTGAAGGCGTCGAGTGATATCTCTGAGATCAGATTCCTGGATAAAGACAGATTCTGCATTTCGAAAGCGTCTTTCAACGATATGGATTCGTCTTTGCATTCCTCAAAGCATACTTGGGTAATTAAGTTGTCGTCCATGATGAGTTCTTGCAGGTGCCTAAAAAATTAATGGTCAAAATCAAGAAAAAGAAATAAATAGCGTCAACAATAATTATATTAATAGCAATAGTAATAAAATAATTAAGACGAATTAAATTAAAATGAATAGGTAACAGCAATGACAAAAGTAACCATATATCATAAAATCAATAACTAAAATGATAGTGATAGTTGTAAAAATAACAAAAATAATATTAGTATTATTTATCTAACAACAATATCGAATAACAATAATAATAAAAGATATTAATATCGATAAAAACAGAAACAGTATTAATATTACTCATAATAGAACAACAGAAATGCAGAAATAACAGAAATGTTGCTGTCCATTTAAAATACAATTTCTTAAATTTTTTTACAAACAAAAAAAATATTAATTAGACAAAAAACAATTTAATAAGTTTGATATTATATATACATATATAATATAATACATAATATAATATTAATACCTAAGTTTGCCTTGTTTGACCCGATCAATAAAATTTTTGTTTATATGAAGATGAGTCAACGTTGCCGGAATATTGTCGAAAACAGCTTCACTGGAATCGATGCTGTTATTGCTCAGATGTAAATGAGTTAGAATAGGTGTTGCCAGATAAAAGTGCACTTGAAAATTTCGTAATTGACTGTTGCATAGACGCAGATGTTTCAAATTCGGAAAAACCTCATACTCCTTCAGGGTTTCTGTAGTGGGCTCATGGGAATCTCTATTGTTGTCGATAATCAATGTCTGCAGATTGGTACTTCTTGCCAACGACAATAGCTTCTCTTTTGGAATTCTATTTCCGGAAAGATCCAGATACTCCAAATTCCGCATCTTGCGGAAGGCGAATGGTGAGATATCGCTTATGTTATTGTTATCGATACTGAGGATAATAATGTCATTGCTATCGATAAAATCTCGACCGATTTTTTGAAGACCAACGTTAGAGAAACTAAAGACAACGTAATGATCATGAATGCACTTTACTTCAACACTTGGCGGTGGTACTGGTGGTGTATTTTGATGGTGATGTATGGAAGGTGTATTTTGGTGGTGATGTATGGAAGGAGGTGTGTTTTGAATGTATGGAGAAAGAGTTGACGAAGATTTATATATTCCCCAATTTCCCCTGAAATCGTAAGGGGGAAAATTATGTCCAATACGTTCGGTTTTTGCTAGATACACAATGGTGACAACGAAGCAAATGATGAATTTGTGATCGAACGCCATCTAAAAGAAAGAAAAAGCAGACAAATTAATACATAAAAATAAGAGTAAAAAGCACAACTAATTTAATATATTATTATAGAATAATAATAAAATTAGTTTATTAATAATAACTTAATATAAAATAAGAACAAGTAATGATAAATCAATGTAATGATAAAAACTTCAAAAATAAATAAAAGTTACTTAAGAAAATAACTGATAAAATTAGTAAATTAAATTAAAATTACGGACTATATATAAAATGGCTTAGTTATTATCAAATTTATAGATATTAAATTGATATATGTATAAAAAGATGGTTCTCTCAAAACTTTGTAAATTTATAACACTCATTAAATTAAAAAAATAATGAAACTAAACAGTGTTACTTGCAAAAAATTTTCTTGTGTTATTTTTATTTTAATCTTTTGCGAGGTATTCTATGTACCATTCTTCTAAAATAAATAAAACATTTAAAAATTCTGAATACAATTTTTTATTCAAATAATATAAGATATTTATATTTAAAAAATTATTATTTGAATATGTTTATATATTATAGTAAAGAATTACTTTATCAAGAATTATTTAAATATATTTATATTAAATAGTCAAAAAATATCACATAGATATTAAAATATTACAAAAGTATTATAAAAAGATTATTTATATGCTCTTAATTAGTTATGTGAAAGTAATGATAATTTCAGAATAAATTTGAGTGATTTGTGGGATACTTACCGTTGATATTAATTGTGTGGTTAATATTATTTTTTCTCAAAGTCGTTAAGCGCTTCTTAAATACTTCTCTCACTCGCGGATTAATTCACTCAAGCGGTCTAAACACCTTTTGTCGCGAGCGGGCAAACTTATCTTCTTATATACTGTGGATCGTCTTTAGGGGATCTCCCTTCGCGCTAATAGCAGTGCCGTCTACATAATGCACCGTACCTAATCGAAAATAATGCGTCCATATTATATTAAATTCACTGAATTAAATCAGTATCAAGTAAAGAATGCGAGGAATTATATTTTATCATATTTAATATAATATATTATCATTATCATATATTATCATCATCATAATATATTATCATATTATAATATTAAGCTGCTAATGTTTACATCCTTTCCAGGATTTAATTTAATTAATTTAATGTCTCTTCACAAAGTTAAAAATGTCAATTTACTGTGGCTGTAAAATAATACTTTTGATTTATAAAGAAAATCATGAGTTATTGTACTTGACTCTAAAATAAGAAATATATTTCTTTTTTATTTAATTATATAGCATAATAAATATATAACTGCACATTTGTGCGCATAAACGCAAAAAAGAAGTTAAATGTTATAATCTCCAACGTATATTATAAATATTTTAATAATCAACAACAAAATCTTTAATATATGAAGGATTCTAAAATTAACAGTCATACTTGCTTTGATTTTAATGTACTAATAAATATACATATACAAACATTTCTTTTTAAGAATATGAATTTTCTTTTAAAATCTTATTTCTTTATTTTTTATATTTTCTACTTCTCTATATTTTTTTATGTCTATGCATTTCATTTTATGTATTACAATAGAAAAACGTATTAAAATGTTCAGTCTATCATAAAAAATTCTATATATTTATAATATAATTACATGTATAAAAATATAAGAAGTAGATAGAAGAATGTAAATGTCGAAAGTGATAAAATTTATACAATATCCATACCTTTATATGCGGGTTCAAGATTATCGTCTACTTTGCTGAGCACGTGCGATTAAAACGTATCTTATGCCACGAGGGATGACTTCCCATGAACTTCACGCATTCTTACGGTTTAGTCTTACACAATTATCATACTGTTTATCATCAACGTCCAATGAGATAAATAATCTGAACCATCTAGCGCTTAGCAAGAAAAAAGTTCTGAGAAACGCAGATTCAAAAAGTAGTTTTTAACATTTCAATAATTCGGTCAAGCTTAATTAAGATGTCTGAAGGATTGGGCATATTTTATAACAGTAACTAATTCGTGTTATTTTTACTTTGTATGTGAATTCTGAACTTTTTTTTATCTGGATATTTAATTCTAGACTTTAATTTTAAATGAATAAAATTAAAAATTCAATGAATGTTTGTATGTATTTTTTTTTTTTAGCAATCAGAATGGCTTCTGCTGAAATCAAAGTCCGTTCTTTTTTTAGTGAGAAATTCAGCAGCATACTCAGCAGATAGCGAAGTCGTATAGCGCGATAAGTGTCAACTGACAGCTAATGCAGAGGTTTTCTTATTATATATCCCGTTACATCGTTTAACATAAATTATTATTTCAAATAAAGCAGACAGTCAGATACAATAATTTGTATTTTTACGTTATGTAAAATAAAGTTACAAATGTGTAATATAACTGTTATTAAAATAAGTTTCCAATGTATTTAGAAAAATAATCGAAATTATAACTATAAAACTTGCGACTAAATGATTTATTTTTAATGCGCCCTACATGATAAACATATAAAATTTAGAGACTTATATACGTAAAATAATAAATATTACATATGCTAAACATATGTACCGCTTAATCGATATTCGATTCGAAATTTTCTTAATTGATAATCGCGAGTCCGGCAAAACTTTAAATTAATGGATCTCTGTTTAAAATTAACGCAATCGAGCAATTCCTTCTTTTCATTTTGGAAGTAAAAATCCGAGGAATAAAATTAATTTAAAATTATGTAAAGTTGTGAAAAACATTTGTTGTAAACAATTTTTCACAACGCTATCTGGATTTGACACGTAATTGAAAAAAGTGTCCAGGTCCACTAGACTCGAAAATACCGAGTTATTAGATTATTATATATTTTGACTATTAATCCGATTAAAGTTATTAACAGTCAAAATATAATAATAATAAAATAATAATAGTCGTAATAGTAGTAAATCATATTGTCGAAAATTATGAACTGAATTATCTTAAGCTAAATATATAGTTATGTAATCTGGTAACGGCTCTATTTCGAGCGTCGTTATTTTAGTAAAACTATTATTTTTTACAAGTAAATGTTTTAGCGAATGTATGGAATATATTCCCATATCAGTAATGCCTGCAAAGTAATTCGAATTAACATTTAAACTTTCAAGTTTTATTAACGGCAATGCCCAATCTGTGGATAAATGACTCAATTGATTTTCCGACAAATCCAGATATTCCAGTTTCTCCAAATTTGAAAAGCTATCCTGTTCAATACGGTCTATTCTATTTCCTTTAATTGACAGCTTTATCAAGGATTTTAAATTCTTAAAGCTGTTTGGTTTAATGTATCTAATCGTATTGTAACGCAACGACAATTCATTCAGCCACTGCAAATTACCCAGAACAGGAACGTATGAAAATTCATTATAATCTAATAAAAGCACTCGTAATGATTGAATGACGTCAAAACGAACGTTAAACGCATTATCGAAATTGTTCCTTGATAAATCCAGGTACTTTAAATATGGAGTATTGAAAACTCCTGAATTTAGATGAGTGCAATTGGATAAACCTAACAGTTGCAATTTCGTAGAACTTATATCGAGTTTTCCGAGAGGATTTCCATCCAAATGTAAAGCGGTAATTTCCCCCGTGTTTTGTAAACTCAAATTATGGAAATAATTATTCTCCAAATGGAGAACGCGTAATGATGTCGGAATTTTATCGAAAAAATACGGATCCATTGCGTCGGCTTTGATGTTAATTAAATCTAAACGCGTTAACTTCGGGAAAGATACATTAAAATCCCATAAAAAAGTGGATATTTCATTTCCACTTAAATCCAGATATTCCAGATTCGGTAAACTCATTTTACTGCTGTTAAAAATTATGTATTTATATTTATATATATCTTCTTCCTCGAAAGTTTCCACTTCCGATATGCTGTTGACGTCTGCGGACATCTCTTGATAACTTAAATCTAATATTCGAAGATAATGATGTCGGATTTGATTATCCTTGTACAGATTGATGCTATTACGCGACAAGTTGAAACAAGATAAATATGGTACGTGATCCAAAATATTGTGGGGTATCTTCTTCAAGAAGTTGTTATGCAGTGATACATGCCGTATTGTGTCACTACGAATAATGTCGTTCTTGACAATTTGTAAATTCATATTGGCCAAGTTAAGAAATTCAACAGAATCACATTTGTTTTCTTTTTGATTAGTAACGCTTATGTCGTGTTTTTCTTCATGTTCTTTTGCATATATTGAGATATGTTTAAAATTTTGTTGATAATTATTATCACCAGATGCTATTGTCAGCATTAATACAAGCAGAAATATAGATTTCATCTGTAAAAATAATAAAAAATGTAACATAAGAATAATTGTCCAATAAACATGCCGAAGAGGCATAAATAAACTAGAACGAAATTATTTTGTAACATAATAATACGGTTACTGCTCTTGAATTGTTATAGTTTTAAAAAATATATACAGTATAAATTTGTCAAAAAAAATAGAAAATTAAAAAATGAATAAAATATCAGCGTATTAAATAAAATAACAATTAAATAGAAATGAAAAGAGCCATATACACAAATATTTTCCAAGTGTATAAAAACTGCACGATACAATTAATATATAATAACAAAATATATAAAGAATATTAAATTATATCTTTTAATTCCACAAATGTATAAAATTTACATAGAAACTTTTTAAAAATAATAGACATAGCCAGCATACCTTGGTTGAAATCGATGATTGTTTTACAAAATAATAATTCTTCTAATTATTTGGACCTATTAATCTCTCACTGATGGATGCTGATCACTGATGATTCTTGCAAACAGTGCGCCTTCGAAACTTGCAGCTTGTATATTTATAGGTACTATATCACGTCATTATTAAAAAAAGCATTTCCTCACGGTTTTATCATCCGGAAGCATAAAGTTCACCGAAAGTGACATATTTGGATATCTAACAGACGCATTTAATTTATCAAATAAATAGAAATTTTTTTCTATGTGTGTATAAGCACACGAAATGTGTAGTATAACAAAAACTATAATAAAAAATTTATATTTAATAAAATCGGAGAAATTGTATATTACGATAGTCACAAAAATATTGCAACTATAAAGAATTATCAGTTAACGAACAAATCAATTGCTCACCAAATATAGCTTAAATCTTATAAACACCTTCGATAAAAGTTTCTCGAAATTATACATGTAATCAATTTCTTCTAAAGTAAAAATTCTATATTATACATTTTTTTCACTCTAGTTCTTTTTCTGCAAACCAAGATTCTCCTCTTACATCTTCCGTTACGCCGCTGCTCTCACACGGTCACATGAATACGTAAAGTGAGAAAGCAAATGAAAGACAGCTAGAAATCATAACGCATATTTATTCTATATATGTATATAGAAAGAGTTGAAACAAAAAATTTTAGGATATAGAAAATGTCTATGTCCAATCCGACCATGGCATAAAATAAACGAAACCTTCAATCAAATTACATTTTTTATTATTACGATTTATTTATTATTATAATTACCAATATAAATAAATCCAATTATTATATCCAAATATTATATTAACTGTATTATTATATTTTAATATATGTTAAAATAATGGAACCACAGTTTAGAATTATTAACGTTTTTGTATTAATTAAAGTATTCTTTATTTATACATTTAAGATATTTTTAATTGATTATCGTAATTTATTATACTATTATTTATAGAATCGCGTTTATGTAATTAAGAAAATACGTTCGTAATAATTAAAAGAGAAATATTAACGACAATCAAAACTTTTGTCTCTGGTTTAATACGAACGATTGTACTCGTACCATTATCTGAGTTCTTGTAATTATTGTCAGTGATGAAATAAAGTCATCCGTTTCTGTTGTAAAATACAGTGTACAGTTAATAATAAATATGATTAATATGCGTATACTCAACAAATCTTAAAAATTTTCAATAATATAAAATATATCCCCTGTACCTGCATCAAGCATTCCTATAACGATTTTCTTTATTACTAGGCAGGCTTTGGTTGATCGTCGTGTGTATATTGAGTTTTCCTAACTGGATTTTCATATCGATGTTTTATATGCTTCCAAAGCCTCTGTAAACATTAAGTTAAATTAATTTCATTAATGACTTTTGATAACTGATAATTTCTTGAAAAATCCTATACACATATAAATAATTCAAAAAAGCCTAGAATATTTATTTATATTTTTAGTATATTTAATATATATGCACTTTAATATTTATCATACCCCTTCATTCACAGTTTCGAATATGTGGTCGCAAACGTGATCGTATGCCCTCTCAAAGAACATCGCACTAATCACAACACCAAGCGTAAACGTAGAGGTGCGCTGGCATACGTAGCGATAAAATAAACGTGCCGCCGTATTCAACATGATCAATCACGAAAAATATTTTAATAAAGTATGATGTAGATTGAAACACGGATTGTCAAGTTATTCATTTGTCATACTTTTAAAGAAAAGGACTGTATTCACGTAATTAACCAAAATCGTGTTATAATAATCGTGCATTTTTGAAAAATTATTAAATAAATAAAAAAGTACTGCTTTTTTAAGAAATAAAATCTATTGCTTAATTTTTAATTTAATTTAATCTTTCTCTCTCTCTCTCTCTAAAAATATTATTTAGAATTAAAAGAGAAAAGAGAACAGAAACAATAGAAATTTAACAAATAATAAAATTCAACTTAATTAATCTTTTATTTAAAAAAAAAACGAATACTTAGAATTGAATAAATAATTTTCACTAAGTCTTTCTAATTCTAATAATTTAGTTTTAATGTAATTCTTATTTTGTATGTGACAATTTGATAATAACTTATCATCCTGATATCCTTTTATGCTATTTTAGTTTATCTATTTCTAGGAAAAGATAGCGTAAACGATAAACTAAATCAGTCTGTTCTATTTTCAATTGGTTGCACAACTTCCGCACTTGATTTGTGCTTTCACTTAATATTATTAAACAATAATAATTACAAATGAAAAAATAATATCCAATAATGTAGAATAGAACATCATTATTTACAATTTTGTCTTCGTGAGGAAATCATCGTCTGAAAATTCAGAAATCGTATATTTTTGTCCCTCGTCAATTATACAACTTTTTGTTGACAAAGTAATTTAAGAAATGCTTCGCAATCTACATTTGTAATTGTAAACTCCATTAAATCTTCGATTAATTTGTACAGACGATAATATACCTGAAAGCGGAACAGATAAAACACATTGTTGCTTACCTTTCACATTTCTTATTTATATTTCTTAATAACGATATTGTACAAAAATACAAGTCAAGTAGATACAAGAAAGGATCTATCGCATATTTTAAAAAATTCCTTTTTAACATGATGACAGGAGGAAAAAATGTACAGAGCATTTTTTCACACACACATACGTATATAGGTGATATGTGTGTCGTAAACGCATTGGTATAAACTTTCTCGATTCTATACATTACAGACATCACGTTTTCCCTGCGTCGTCACGATGCAAAGTTTTCGGAATCGAGGTCGGTGTTTGCAGCACCTTTCGCGATATCCTCATCTGTCCGGACACTGGATCGCGTCCGAAATATTTGACCTGTATCTCGTGACCGACCTCAAATCCCAGCGCGCTCGGGTGAAGGATCCTACGCTGATCTAATTGGGAGATGGGTAATAACGCCGGTATCATGTTGGAATATAATGTCACCATGACTCCGGTTTCCCGAATCTCCACTATCCTCGCAGTATAAATCGCACCGAACTCCAAGGTCGGCTCGCGATCCTTCTTCAAAATGGCCTCTATCATTTCCTTGGCCTCAGTCATGGCGTCTTCGTTCGGCGCAAATATCGAGTAGGTCTTTTCGTCGTGCGGATATATCTGAGCGACATAAAAATAAAGAGCTGATGTACCTCGAGTTGTGCAATAACGTTTTGAATTTAATAATATCAGGTCATCGATTTTTCACTCTTCAGATTCATAATAAAAAACTTACGTGCACTCCGGTTTCCAGAAATATCTTCTTCAGATTCATCCCACCGATCCCGAGAAACTTTCCTCTCTGATGAATAGGAACTTCCAAGTTATCGACCACTGGCATTTTGTCTTTCCTAGGTGATCGCGGTGCTCGTATCACTTGATTCATAATCTTAATTATCTCTAATTTAGCCCTCGTTGCTTGCTGTAGACACTCCATTACGATTTTTAATGGCACTCCTGGTATCTTTATATCAGCCTGCAACGCGGTGAATCCTCGCTTGGTGCCTGCTATTTTGAAATCCATATCCCCGAAGTAATCCTCAATTCCCTGCGATCAAAAGTTCTTGTCAATCAAAATTGCTGACTTGACTACTGACGCTTAATTTCAGCAATGGCTTAACTTCAACAATAATTCCGGATAAATTTGTTCTGAAGGAATCAACAGTCTGTGCTCCCAGGTTTGAACTATCCGAATATGCAACGAAAAATAGATTCTCATTTGAAAAATTCAAAGTAATCTTTACACGATCTTGACGATGCCATCCAAGAGCAAATTGATATTCACTTAATAAATTCACTTAATAAATCACTTCACATCATACAACTTTTGCATAAAACTTTTCTATAATAGCATGCTTTCCGAAATATTTAGTATTGGTACCGTAGGAAATTAATATTTCTGATTAAGATTTTCGCTCCACTTCGCGAACGCGTATACTAATTTTTTGTATAACACAGCTCATACGTTAAGATTTCACAATTTACGATCAATTTTAATCATTCTGATCTCGAATTTCATAATTTTTAAAACCTTTAAATTTGTGTTCAAACTGATCTTCATTTATTCTGTCTGAAAGGTAAAACAGGGGATAATTTTAAACAAGAACCAACGTAAAATTAATTTTCCCCGTAGTTTATGTTAGAAAACAAGCAACCTTCTGATATATTTTTTTTCTTAAAATTATTTTCCCTCAAAAGGTGTTCGAAATGCAGAGTTGTGAGTGGTGCGTGGGCAAGACCGAATTAATTAACTGTGTAAGGGCTATGTAAATACGTACCAATATGTCGGTCAATATTTTGTACTCCTCAATATTCGTGCTGCTGGCGTCATATTTAGTCACAAGACCGATAGCCACACCCGCTGCCGCCGAAGATATTGGTATACCTGCGTCGAGCAGTGCCAAACTTCCACCGCAGACGGTGGCCATTGAGGAGGAACCTTTTTCGTAGAACACAAGGTACACAACTTTAATTTATAAAATTTCTGGTGCGTGTCATACATCGCGGCTACATAAGCGCGTTTACTGAACCAGATTTAGATCACTTTAGAATTGCCTCACCGTTCGATTCTAGGACTTCACTAGTCAGTCTTACAGTGAAGGGATAATCCTTTGGAAGAACCGGCCGCAGGGCTTTCTCCGCCAAAGCGCCATGTCCCAACTCTCGGCGACCGGCTCGACTCGCGGATCCCGTTTCATTAGTCGCGTAAGGTGGAAATTCGTAATGGAGAAAGAAGTTCTTCTCCTTCGTGCCACTGCAACAAAAAATACATTTCAAATATTTATTATACATTAATAAGATTAAATAAGACAAATTCAATCGGATAATCAAATAATCGACATTTGACAAAAATAAAAAAAGGATCCAAGAGATCGAAAATAGTAAATTGTGAATTGTATCTATAAACTATGGTGAATATTGTACTGCACAGATATTTATGCGTGTCAATATCTTTGATTAGATCGTACTAATTTTCCTTGCAGAAATTATTTTCTAATTTTTAATTGTATATCTTTAGAATCTAAAATCTCCTTTGGAACAATAAAATCTCGCGCTGTATTGTGACAAAATATTATAAAACAAAATAAACAAAAATAATAATATCAAAGTTTAATTGTTTTGCCATTAATGTACCATTAATTTATTATTAATATACCTAATTAGCATTGAAACGGTGTCCATTTTAAGCGCACTTTCCAAAGAGTCCAAAGTCACGGTGCACATGACCTGGGTCTGGCCCCTTTGAAATACAGCTGAACCATGAAGAGGATTAAAGAGATCTACCTGACACGATATGTCGCGCAGACCATTCAACGGACGACCATCGCATCTGCAAATCGTCATGTCTTGACGTCATGAATCATCATTTGAAGATCGACAATATAAATGTCACGTATATAAGAAAATATGATGTAAGAAAAAAAAATACCTGACATCCCCCTCTAAAATCGACGTCCTGAACACATCTTTGACGATCTTTCTAAAGATCTTTTCCACCGATTTAACATCCAAGTCCGCATTGTCGTTTCGCAACGTTTCAATAACGCTACTTCTAAGCTCGTTAACTGCGTTATCTCGCGAAATCTTGTCGTGCGTATAATTTGAAAATACGTCCCGCAGTCTCGCCTCCGAGAGCTCCCTCACGGAGCCCGTCAGACTGTCGTCCGGCTGCTGCTCCGCGGTCTCGACTTCTCTCTTCGTTTTACCGCACGTCTTCTGCAAATTCGTTATCGCCGCCACAATGGCCTGGCACTCTTTCGTCCCGACTTTTATCGCCTTCCTCAACTGGTCCTCCAGTATCTCGTTGGCCGAGCCCTCCAACATGACGACCCGATTCTGCTTGGCCGCGGTGATGACGAGGTTCAACGCGCTGTCCTGAATCTGACGTCTGGTGGGGTTGATTATTATCTCGTTGTCGATCATCCCGAGTCTGACGGCGCCCACGGGGCCGTTCCACGGGATGTCGGAGACGCTGAGCGCCGCGGAGGCGCCGTTGATCGCGATCACGTCCGGGTCGTTCGAGCCGTCGATGGCCAGCATGTTGCACATTATCTGAGTGCTGAGGTTGAACCCCTCCGGAAACAGTGGCCTCACGGATCGATCGATGACCCTGCTCGTGAGAATCTCACGCTCGCTCGGCCCGAGCTCCCTTCGCAGGAAGTTGGTCGGTATGCGACCGGCCGCCGCCGCCTTCTGCCGATAGTCCACGACGAGGGGTAGGAACGAAGGAGCGGTGGACGACTGTCGCTGGCAGACCGCGGTGACCATGACGGAGGTGTCTCCCAGAGACGCGACCGCGCAGCCGTCGGCGAAACGTGCGTATTTGCCCGTGGAGAACTCCAGACGCTTGCTGGACATGTGAAAGCATATCAATTAGTCGGGGATATAAAAATCAGTTGAACAGTTAATTTTCTTTCTCACAATTTTTTAAGCCATTCAAATTTCAGGTAATAAGTAACGAATTGAGAACCAGGAGAGCTTTGAAAGGTAAATAAACTTCAGAAACTATAAATAACGAAATTACATTTCTCAGTTAATTTCAGATAAGCATAGTTTTTGCAACGTTAATTTGAAACTGTTTAAAACCTAATTTCAAAGATGTGGGATATTAATAATTCGAAACTTGCAATCCACGTTTGCTCACTTTAATTTTTCAGAGAAGATCGATGTAAAGGAATTTTTCTATCAAGAGTAAAGCAACAGAAAAGAGAAACTCATTACAAAATAATTAAAATATAAAGATGTAAAATAATTAAAATAAAGTGTCTGTATGACTGGGGCTGTATATATTTTTACCTTGTAATTTTTTTTACGTAAACTATATATAATTTGTTCGAGAACATATAGACATTTTGCTGTAAGGTATGGGAATGAAAATTGAGAAATGTGAATGTAAAAGTGAAATGTAACAGAGTAGGTACAGAAGGTGTTTAAGATAAAATAGAATAGTGAGGAGATAAACGGATAGGAAGGAGTTCGAAGTCCCTTCCTTGGCTAAGGAACGCTGGAGGGGACAAGAGCTCAGTTGGCTAAGGTAGGAAATTCTGAAAATATAGAACAAATTAGGATAGAAATAGGAAGGCTAGTATAAGCACGATGATGAGTTTGGTAGGTGAATGATTTAGATTTAAAAGGCCAAAATAGAAGAGAATGGATGAAAGAGTGTGGATAGGTAAATTGTAAACCAAGTCCCTTCTATGGCTTCTGTAAAAGGTAAAAGTAATAAAGATTCTTCTTCATATAGACATTTTGCGAAACTCGAAATACATGCAAACACCTCGTTTCAACGAAATTCGCAAGGTATCCGCTACAATTCTATCACATCCGATTTGAGGTTAAGAAAGAAGATAAGCGTGACACTCACCCATCGGACAACGTGACACTCTCCGTGCCGGCGTTCCCGTGACTCGCACTGCTGAATTTGACGTAACACACATTTCCATTCTCGCACAGATCTTTACACGTCGAGAACACCGATCTGCGACGTCTCAGTAACCTAAAATTCGTAAATCCCACCATCCTCGGCAACGCAAGCACTGGCAATGCCGGCTCATAACCTCTTCGGCCGGCTCGTGCGCTGCACTCTGCAGCCTCCGCAGCGATATTTGAAGTAAAGCCGCCATATTTGAACAATGGACAAGAAGACATCATTGGCGACTTGCCACTGGAATTGGTTTCCTCCAATCGGACGCGTCGCCTTCTGACAGAAATTATTATGAATTCTTGCACTGCAAATACTTCGAAAAATTAAGAACATCATTTCTGTCAAAAAAAATGGTTTAGTGTACATTTTTCACATTGGCGTAAAAAAAAATGGAGCTAAAACGATCCATTCGATCGAGAATCTCAAGAAAACTAATTTCTATAATATTCATTGTTGATACTTTTATTTGATTAGATTTTTTATTTCATTTTAAATACCATTGAGATTTAAATTTATTGCCATTATCTGTACCTAATTTCTTCCTATTTTCTCTACTGTTATATTCAATTCGGTATTTTTAAAAACTATGATATATAATAATTAATACGTAAATAAGAATTAATTTTTTCTCTTTGCGATTTAATTGATATTTTTCCCGACGCATAGTAATAAATATAATATAAGGTCGAAAATAACGAGGACATATCTTCTTTTCTTTTTATATCTTTCTAAAAAAATTCCAAATGCGGTTTCACTTTCTCATTATTCTCTTCTCATCATTTCGCGGCGCAAGGCGAGAGATATATTCGCGCCAACGTACATATACATGTTCTGTTCGCTTCTAATATAGCGTGTTACTTTAAGAAAGCTTCCAGAGGAATGTTAAAGAAAGATCTCTGTTATCTACCATTGATTCGTATACATCACCTAGAGACTAATTAATTGCTTGCTCGACAGATATTTTGCAAAAATTGGATCGGTCATTTTTATTAGTATTCTGAAAAATTTTTATTATCAGGATGATAATAAAAATAACCCATCCAATTTTTGAATTGTATAAATTTTTAATTGTATATATATCGTTGATTCTTTCTCCTCTCTTTGGTGTAAATCAACTTGAGATAATTATTAATGAGATATTTACACGATCACCAGATATTCAAAAATTGAATGGATCATTTTTTATGATTCATTCAAGTTTTGAATATCTATATCGAATACCTCATTATATTATCTCAAGTTGATGTACACGAGAGAGAGAAGAAAGAATCAACGACTGATATACAATTAAAAAGATCTTCCGACAATATATATTCCTGCAAATGTTAAAGAAAAAATGTTGTCCTGCACTTGTACTCCTGAAAAAATGTGCACTTTATTCTGATAGCTTCCATAATTGATGATTAATCCGTCTGTTTATTAGATCCCTGTGCAAAACCGAATGTCTTTAGAGAACATAATAATTTCAACATTATTAGAAATTTCCATGCAGTTACATGTTTATAGATTCCCTGTAAATCGCGGTATATCCTGCAATCGAGTAACAACGCAAACCAGAACAGTGGATTATCGTCTTAGCGATTATATCATTATATCGACCGCGTTTCTCTTCAGCTCGTACGAGTAGAGCTGATTCGCTCTCGAAAGTTGTCGCCTCGTTTGAGTGTGTGAACGAGAGAGAAAGAGAAAAAGAGAAGGAGAGAGAAAGACTCTTGAATTGCGCCTTGGTTCCCTCGGTTTCTTTCCTCGAGCTGAACGCTAATTAACAATTGTGCTTATAAACTGCTCACCACGTGAACCTAATTCTCGATCCGTGCACCGGTGACGAAATTTTTTTTTACTAAGTAAGAAAGTCCTCCGAATTCGAATGATCCTGCGAAAGCTTTGTCTTGTAGTGAGAGAAAGTTTCTCACCTTCTTCCTTTTTAATCGATTCGCTTCGCTAATTTTTTTTCTTACCGCGGCTCTCAACGGATTACTAGGATTTCTTTCGGTCGACTTCCATTCGGAGTTCTCTCGAAATGAAAGGAAAATCATTTCTCCGTTTATTTTCATCGTAATGCCAAGTTTTCGAGAAAATTGACACGGAAAAATTAATTTCAAAAATCTCAAAAATTTATGGTGTTCTGGAGATTGAAAAATTTCATTAAATGCCAGATTTTGAATGTCCAAGAATTACATTATTAACAATTACAACTTCCAGGTGCACTTTCAATAAATTTCAATCTTTCAGAGATTCAAAGTCTAGCGCGCTGTTTCAAACATGTGAATTTTGAAGTTTGTGTAAAGACTCGAATTTGACATATAATTAAAAATAAATTTCCAGAGTTATTAACAAAGATATCAATCATAGTTTATTCTTTAAACGTCTAAATTTTTTTAAACTCGAGACTTATCGACCTTTTCCATATTTATTTTAAACGTGACGTTTTTAAGATTGAAGAATCGTCACTGTATATAATTAAAATTCGTGTCGAGATTCCATTCCATAAATTATGATGTTAAACGCGCCTCGTGTAGTTCCTCAGCATCTGCTAGACCGCACATCACTCGCTTTTCCCCTCTCCCGCGCTATTCAACGATCACTTTCTTCGAGATCGCTTCGTACCGAAGGATCCGCTCTTCGCGTCGCGCTAATCCTACTCGAGGATCGATTGGCGTCGCCGAAGCCAGTCAGGCTATGCGGATTCATAGATCATAGTGATCGGTGTGGTGATCCAGCGCGGATATTCTCGATTTCGCTGGTGATGTATCGTTTTCGCAGTGATTTGCTTGTTCTGCTGGTGGTCGTTCTAGCGGAGGCACAGTGTGCCATGATAAGAATTATCCGAGAGGATCATTTTAGTAAGTAACTCCTCGAGACATTGTAATTTTCCTTGCAATCTTTTACCAGGAATGTTTCTTTTCTTCAGTGTAATATAGTCATAAGGAAATATATAATAAAATTAATATTTTATTTAAATTTAATATCTTTAAAAGTGTCGTTTTTTAAATTTAGCTTTTTCTCAGTAGTACTTGACTAATTAGACAAATTTTATATCTATTTTTGAGCAGCTAATTCTTTACTTAATGATGCGTATATATTGTTAAATATTTGTTATATAAAAATGTGCTTGGCGTAAATTTCTTATCTTTATAAGATTTTTCCGTTAAATATTTTTTCTTTCTTTTAAAATTAGAATTGTCATCATAATCTTTTAAGAATATGTAATTTTTTTTAATTTACAGTTTTTTCTTGATTTCTAAATTGATTTTGTATTGTCACCACTTTACTGTTCCTTATACATATATTTCAAATTTTAAATGAAATTTAATAAAATTTTAGTTTCGTCGAATTTTGAATCTGCGACACTTGAAAAAATTATACATCCTGTATATTTTGATTTGAAATCTTCCTTTTGGAATATAGATTAGCTTTGGATTTTAGATCAGTAGACCTTACAACTTCGGATAGCTGGCATGTATTTAAATCTCTAAAATGTATTTCGTATTTTATTGCATTCACATGATAAAATACATTTCAGAGATAATCACGAAAATCCTATGTCCTGTGCGTTACTTTTATCCACCGATTTACTCACAAATCCTAGACGTTTAAAAGTTCCTGATGTATAGCTCGAATTGCATCGTACTCTTAAATCTTACCCGAGTGTCCCTGACGGCGTTACCTTTTTTACGCTACGTGAAGTTCGTACATCTCGCGACCAATGTGAAAACATTAAGCAAACACAAGCGGCTTCGGATAACAGAGTGCGGATGTCCAGCAGCGTCACAGAGGCAGCCGCGATCGATTGTCTCGCCGAAGGTCCATCAGCCGCGGGACGGCGGCGTCTCGTTGTCGACGACCACCACCACCACCGGCCGCATCTTCAACGGCAAGCCCAGCCGGAGGGGCGCGTGGCCCTGGCAGGTGTCCCTTCAGCTGTTGCACCCGAAACTGGGCTTCATAGGCCACTGGTGCGGCGGTGTGCTGATCGACCCCAAGTGGGTGATCACCGCCGCGCACTGCATTCACAAGTGAGTTTGATATTTCTACAGAATATCTACATGTATATAGATAGAAAGTTACTTTGCTATACTTCATTTCACAAGAAGACGTGCCGAATTTTTCAATCAATTCCGTTTTAATTTCCCTAAAACTTCAAATTATTCGAGCAAGCTTTTCTCAATTTTCTTTTCTTTCCCCTCATCAAACTTTCGTTAATTCAATATCTTACAAATTCATTATATCCTATTAACTCTAAAATTATTAAATACTCATTGCCGATATTTAAACGGATATTTCTACCCCAGATTCAATCTCTTTTCGAGTATATTTACCTTATGCTTCGTATTCTCAAGTGGAAATTTACTTCAGCGAACTGTTCAATTTGCCCATCGGTGCGCTATGGACGGCGGTGGTCGGCGAATGGGAATTGGACTCAGGAGGACGCGGATCCGCACGCCTGCCCGTCGAGAAAGTGATCCTCCACGAGAGATTCAATAATTACGTGCACGACATAGGTGAGTATCCTTGTATCTCTATAGGTATGCCGGTATAAATAATCTGAAAAATATTCGACAAAATCCAGTTTTCGTCAACCCAAAATTTTAACAATTTAATTCCCGATCGAGAACTCCCATAAAATTAAAATTTTATCTTAATATACTCCTAAATGAATTCTGAAACCGGAGAAATCTCTCGCGAGCCTCTCTTCTGGAGTCCTGAAAGAGATCTTGATAGAGCTCTCGCTGTTACAGCCTTGTTGAAACTCGCCAGGCCGGCGCCTCTGTCCAAGGTCGTCCGCACTATCTGCCTACCCGGGCCCGGGCAGGAGCTCAGCGGCGGTCATGCACAATGTGTGACCTCCGGCTGGGGCCGATACGGTCCCTCGCCCTCGCTCTCCACCGCACTTTTGGAGGCCAGTGTCCCGCTTCTGAATTTGGAGGAGTGCCTGCAGGCTTACGGTACCTCGGTGCCCATTAGAAAGGGCCACCTCTGCGCCGGTCAGATCGACGGCTCCTCCGGAAGCTGCGTGGTAAAAATCTCTCTCATTTTTCTAGAAATTAATTCGTTCGAGAGCTATATGAAATTTTTTCTTAGAACTCTTCATGTAATTATTTTTCCGAATTACTAAGTAAATTTCAGAATTTTTCAAAATTTCTGTAATTTTACAACTTAGAAAAGCTTCTCAGATTTTTTTAATACAAATTAAAACACTTTTGAAGTGTCGAGAAAGTCTACATCTTTTTAAGAATTTTTTATAGTCTGAATATTTAGTTTCTGAAATATCCTAAGATTTCTCATTCTGTCATTTTCAAAGAAAACTTATAAAGTCTGAAGAACTTCAAAATTATTAGAAATCTTCATAAAAATTGAGTATATAAAAAATTCTTACAAATCTAATTAGTTATGAGAATTTCTTTACCAGGAATGTATATAGAAAATAACCATCAATAACCAGTTTTCTCAAAGACTGTCGAAAGTGCCGATTTTTATTTATTTATAAACCACGCACGATATAGAACGTTTTATCATTGAGCGGTGAAACTTGATTCACCCTGTATATAATCCATTCATACAAACGCGCGAACGCGCGTTAATACATGCACGCGCCAGACACCGAGAGTAAAACGAATCGCTCACAAACACGTTTTATTATCTGAAAGCGTCGATTTGTTGTTAATTACGTCGCTCGTGCACTTTCCCATAATAAAATTGATCGCACGAGCGGCGGCGCGCGAGCTCACGAGGATTTGTGAAGAGAGAATTACTACTGTACTAATTGATTTGAAATTTTCGAATTCTAAGTGTGCGTAAAAGCCCGTATTTTTTTAATATAAAAATCCACAATATTAAACATTTAAAGTAAAAAATTCTGGATGATAATATATGTATTATTAATTTTATATATCAGATGTATATTTGACTTTTTTTATATACTTAATGCTTATTTGCCTTTTTGAAAGATATTAGAAGTATTAATAATATTTATTGGCACACCTACATAGTAAATTTATATAATAAATTGATCATGAAAGTTTATTATATATATGGTAAGTTTATTAAAAAGTATTAAAAGTATTAAAAGTATTAAAAGTTTATTAAAAGTTTATTAAAAGTATTAATTTTGTTTTCTACAATAATTTTGCTGAATCTATGAATTATTTAATAACAATTGATTCTTGTTGCATCATCAAAATAATGACGCTGCAATAATATCACAAATTTATTAAATATATAATTTAATATATTACCTATATTAAATTAGCAAATGAGAGAGAAATTTATACTTTAGCAAATTCCTATTTCAACGAAAAATTGCAGGGAAACTTAATAAGATTTTTTATTTAATCGGTAAAAAGTAGATGTTATCGTATAATATCGTATAATTCAATAACATACTAATAATAAATTATAATATTAAAATTTGACCACATAATGCACAGCAACCTCATTCATGTAATTAACTGATTCTTACCTTTTTGTCCTAATCCTCAGGGTGACTCCGGAGGACCTCTGCAGTGTCGTCGTACCGATGGCGCTTGGCAGCTAGTCGGCGTCACGTCTTTTGGATCCGGTTGCGCCAGGCCGGGCTATCCGGACGTGTACACCAAGATACAGCATTATTTGCACTGGATCAACAAGACGATCGACGCCAACGACGAGGAACGATGAAATTTGTTCCTGTAAATACCGATGATGTAAATATGCTATTGTACAGCGCTAAAGCGTATGTAGTTCCTTGTATTTGTATATATAGTCTGACTTCACGCACATTGTATATTTGTATACTAATTTTTATTGCACATAGAAACAATTTGTATTTATTGTATATGTAAGACTGTGTGCGTGGAAATTATTTAGCGCTTTTTCTATTATATTATCGCGTAGTTTAGAATTTTATTATATATTTATGTGAAACACGCGTTATTTTATTATTTATTTATAGGTATTATTTATATAATAGGAGAAAAGTAAAGTATTTTTATATTCAGTTGATTAAAGACGGTACGCAATATATACAAATTTATTTGATAAGATTATTTTGTAGGGCGATAATATAATAGAAAATATTCCATTCTTATGTACAAGGTGCATCATAAAGTGATCTCCGTTTTTACGTGGCATTTCATGTAGTGTGTTTACATTTGTTACAATTGTACATTTGCGTTGTGTATTTTATATATTTATAAGATATATACTTGGAAAAAGAAAGTTTCAAGTATACATGAATAAAAATTCGACCGAAAACGGATGTTAATTTATAAATATCTGTATCTATATGGACATGTATAATATATAGGTCACGTTGTGAATCGAATAAAAATAATAAGCCGGCTATAGAAAGCTGAAAACACTAGGATAACGACGTGTAAGAGCTTTTTCCGCAGCCGCTTGTAATAATCATTTTATTTACAGATTGTAATCATAAGTATAATATTCGTAAACGATCCAGTCGATTAAACGTCGAGGAATCAAAAATAAATAAGATGATAGGTCCCGAGGATCGTAAAGATTCTTTCCGGTACATTGGCCGCGGCCGGTTAAAACTTTCACGGTTACTCATTCAACCGGAAAAAGATGAGACGATCTCGTTTCAAATCACTTAAATTATGTCGGTGAAACATGAATTTCTATCTCATTCTATAGTCGCGAAATCACGCGACTCGTCGAATGTAGTAAAATTCCTTCGAGTTTAGACGTCGCGTTTGAAATTTCCTTAAAATCCCCTGCCCTGTTAATTATGTGTAGGATCCTCGCATCCGCGCGAGTCCGTTACGCGACTTTATCTTATAATATATGTCAAGAGAGTCGAGCAAATAAATTACAACGTGATTAATTATTCCGTAAAGCGCCTGCAAGATGTACGCACGCTACAATGTTTTAATAAACGCGACTGCATGATGACGCCCATGGCGCGGCGGTAGACGACGGAGTCGGAGATATTGATTCACGAAGGACATACGCGTGACACACTACGAGAGCATATTCGATTACCGAGCTTAATTAGCCTCAATTATTAATTACAGGTGCGCTGCGCTTCGTGCGTGCCATTACGTTCCGTTGCGGGGGCGTGTATTACGACAACTCGTAAAGCAAATAATTCGAATAACAATTAAAGAGTATATGCTAAAGGCATTCCCAGAGACATTCTGCGAGGGTGTACCTTCGACAGTCTTCAAATATCTATTAATTAAAATACTGTTAATAATACTGTTGATCTACCATTTTAAATTAGAAATGATGATACATCCCTGATAAAGAAATTCATGATATTATTAAAAATTTTTCATATTTTAAACTCAAAGATTTCGGAAAAAATATTTTAAATTTCTTCAAAGTTTACAAGTTTTCTTCGAATTATAGACTAAAAAATTTTAAAATATTTTAGAATTTACGTGTATAAAAAATTCTGAAAAGTTCCAATTCATATAAAAATCTTCTGATATGATCTAAAAAGTTACAAAATAGAAATTCTAAAAAATTTTAAATTTTTTACTTAGAAAATTATGTACAAAATTCTGAATCTTCACGAGAATATATTTTACATATATTTATACATATAATGGTATCAAAAAGAGAATTCAGGATTTAGAGAGCAGGTATAATATTTGTCCAACTAAATAAGAAATTAACAAGAAGTTTAATTAATATATGTAAATATTCTCGTGATATTTCTGATTCTGTATTTAGTGCTGCAATTTTTCTATCATTCTTCTTTACACGCAGATTGTGGAATTAGAATAAAAATAGACTATGTCTATGACAGATTAAATTTGGAGTACAATATGGTGTTTTGAGATAGATGTATCGCACTCGACATATAGTTACGCAATAGCAGAAACAGCTTCTCAGAATCGAAGTCCTTATATAAATGTAGATATCCTCCGTATCCATTCTCTCGTGGCAAATGGCTTTTCTTTCTAACTTTCAAGACACACATCTCCCTATATATATACATATTTCTATTCACTCTGATATAACGCGATGACGGAATAAGACCAAGCCACGTGTGCCGAATGAAACCGATGAAGTAAATCAGAGATGCTGCTTCCTAGCTGCTACCTCATGCTTATCTTTGCACATTTTCAGCAAATTACGTTTCAGAATCTTTCATTTTTCTGCCAAATTTTTGTCTAACTATCTCTGTTAATTAACGACGCCATTAGTTGATGAGAGAAACGAGTCTTGGGGGAGAGAAAAAGGAGTGTCTCATGATATATTAATCAACTTCTACATCAATTATATTTGATATAAAAGATACTGGCATACACAATTTCAAAATCGTATAGAAGATACCATATTCGGGAAATATTTATACTCCAAATCTTTTAGAATCTTGAATCGAAAGATAGAATTTTTTTTTAATTCTCAAATCATCAATTCTCTTGGAGAAAATTGCTCAAAATTGTACTCAACGTTATAATTTACGTGATTTAGGTCGTGTAATATTTTTGAATTCTCGAAAGATTTAACCTCGCTTTATCTCGAGTCTCAAAGATTTTTTTAAATTTAGAACGATATCTCGAATTCTTGCAACCGCGGTATTTTAAATCACGATTATATCAATCGATATCCTCACGCGGAGGAGAACAGATAATTAATCATTCGCGTGTAATCCCGCGTTCTCACGCGTGATTGCATCGAGAGTACATTTTGCTCTGTCGACGCCAGATATGCGAAAGTCCACACGCTATATGGGATTAACTTTGGTTCTGCGCGAGAAAAGATAATATCATAATATCCACTGCGAATATTATCTCTTTACGATTGAATCATCGCGGACTGCGCGCGCGCAGCTCGCGCGTGCGGTTTCCTCTTCCCCGTCGCTATATGTGTGTGTGTATGTGTGTGTGTGTGTGTGTTTCGCGATTCGTTATTTAGATCGAACACACTTCACGTGCGATCATGCAGTGTACTTTCATCGCACGGAAGAAAGTGAGAGAGAAACCTGGTCGATGAGAGAAAAGAAAGAAAATGGGATAGCGTGCATTTCGGCTGGGAAGATGACGCTATTCGAATCGCTATATAATATAATAACTATAAACATCTCGCGCACGTGACTTTTCTATTTTTTTTTTTTTTTTCATTGAAATTGCGAAGAAAAATTGCCCAATAATATCGATATTCGCGCGTGAGAAAAATGTAGAAAAGCGCACGCATGCACGTCGTTCACACACAATTTTTGTAAACATAGAAAATTAAATTTATTTATATTTCTAAATTTACCTCAATCTTTAGAATAAAATTATTTAAAAGTTAATTTTTTAATTTTTATATATTACACGTAATTGACGTACGAGAAGAAATTTTTAATTTCAAATCCTAGATCTGTCTTTAATTAATCCTTATATATACATCCTGCGTCCAAAATAATGTAACATATTTTCGAGTGTATAGCAGGGAAGAGAAAAACAGCGAAATAATTTAAAGATTCGCATACGTGAGAAAACACCAACATTGTCAAATTATCTTGTATCTTGATGCAGTTTAATTAAATATTTATATGTGAATCTTGACTTTCAATTCAAGTAAAACTGCGCGTCAAATATATTATATATCGTCGGTCTTTTAAAACACGACTCTAACCTAAATCCGGAGCACGTACATTATCATCACATTTTAATTGACAAAGCAATTTGACAATTTTTGGTGCTGATCATATATCTTTTAAATCCTGTAAAATATTACAGGTAACTATTAAATATTGTGAAAAATTATTACCTCGCCCCGGGAAAAAAGGCAAACAATTCCAAAAGAAAAAAAGAAATCGTAACGCGATTCAAAAACGGAGGCCTGCGGAGATGGGGAAACAAATCTCGCGTAGCGCGATCGAGGAGCTCGGACAGAAGACACGAATTCTCATTCCTCGGCCCGGACCAGGGCCAGACGGCAGACGAGGACGCGACGCCGCGCTTGTGTCCGATTGTGTCCGCTCCGACATGCGCACGAGGCACCTCCAGTCGGACCGTGGCCCGCCGCCGCCGCCGCCACCGCCGCCGCCGTCCCCGCCGAGCCGAGGGAGCTCGAAGGGAGGCGAAACGCGAAGCGAGGCCAACCACGGCTTTAAAATGGCCACTCCTGGTGTCGCGCGTGCCACGCGAGGCAACGTTACGCCAAAGTCCGGTCGTCCCCGTTCCGCGCGAACGTGAAGAGCGAAGTGCCCTCGGCGTGTGGTGACCGTCGCCGCGTCCGCGTCCTCGTCCTCCCCGCCCGGAGGAGACCGCGCGTGAAAACGGCGGAGCTCGGGAAACGGAGCCGAGAGCGGAGCGGAGCGGAGAGAGCGAGAGCGTGAGAGCGGCGGCCGTGGTCCTCGGCGTCGCCGTGGCGGCGACGCTCTCGTGACGTCCCCCCGGCGGTGACACTTTGACGTCGGAGCGCATCGGACGCCTGGGTGTCCTCCTCGTCGCGTCCACTCCGGATCGACCCCGAGCAGCGTCCCCATACCGTCGCGCGCGCGGCGCGACTCGCCGAGAAGGGAACCTCCCGCGGTGAGAGAGACGGTGGTGGAGCCATCGGCGACGCTTTCGTGGCGCCTCAGTGACCTCTCGGTAATGCCCCGGCACTTCGCCTGTATTTTCTCTCTCTCTCTCTCTCTCTCTCTCCTGTCTTTTTATTTTCCTCCCTTTATCCACGCATACAACAAGTCGCGCGCGTGGATCGTTCCCGAGCGCAGCGGGCCTTTCACGAGGGTGCCGCGCGAGCGTGCGTGAGCGTCGCGACACATTGGCGACGCTCTGTCGCGTTTCATTGTCGCCTAGCGGAAGATGGGATCCCCAAGTCCCCGCGTTCGAATTCCCGACGTACGTCTGTCGGGCGCGCTTCGGAGCGATCCGCGTTTCCGCGCAAATAAATATATAGACTTCTGCGCGAAAGGGAAATTCCGAAGCTGTATGCGAAATTAATTCTGATTTTCTACTCCGTTTGTTCCTCTTTTTTTTTTTTTTTCAATACTCCACGGAGGCGATACGCCGATGAGACGCGTAGACAGGCGACCCTCCCATCGATCGCGGTTTACGCTAACCCTTCTGAAATTCATGGAATGTATAGTGTATGTACATGTATGTACAGTACGTTACAGTAGGAGCAATTAGTCAGTTTGCATGATCGCTTTATTGCATACCCAGATTTTATCGGTAAAAGTAAATAAAATTAATAGTCTCGCGCGCGAGACTATTAATTTTAAAATCTATTTTATTCTAAAGTCTTCAGAAACAAGATAACATTTTTGTAGGATATTCTACATTTAATTTAAAATTAAAAATTCAAAAATCATATTTTGTTAAAGAGGAATTTAAATTAATACTTGTTTATTTTTTATTCTTTTGATAAATTTTTTGTATTTAATTTTGTGATAAATATTTATTAATGTTTATGGTAATATTTATTTCTCGGGTACTACATATAAGCAAAGTCATATTGTAAATCATTTTTATTCTTTCGGCTTAAGTAGTTAAATAAAATTAAATTGCGTATATGTTGAATTTTCAATTAACGAAGCATTTGTTAATGAGATAAGCGGTCTGCAAAGAATTTATATCGATTAGCATGTCTTTACTAAAATGTTTTAGTAAGTATAATACTCGCTAATAGGTGTATATACTTACTAATAATAATAAACATGTTCATTTTTGTTTTTTACTTTCTCTAAAAATCTAATAAATATGTATTATATTTTATATAAGTTATATTTTTAATAGTTGATATATTCTAAGCCAAAAGTTTAGAAACACTTTTTAAAAATTGACATTTTTATTTACTTAAATATATACATAATAGTGTATTTTTTTAACAATGATTCTTCAGATCGAATAATTATTGCATTAAACCAAAAACAATTTATTTGTAGTTTTTATCGATGTCTCCAAACTTTTGGCCTGTGTATATGTAATAACTCAATTTTACGCTTTAACTAATATGTTTAAATATTATCATAAATAGGTACTTATACACTCTTCGTTCATTAATTACGATTTCATAAACTATAATTATTGATTTGTAATCAATAATTATGTCGAAATTATACACATCCAAACTTTTAATACGCTACCATTGTAAAGGTATTTCATTAACTACTCCACGTATGTGTACGTCCCGCTAATTAAATGAACTGCGTTTAATAACTCAATTAGGAAATTATTATAATTCGTGCAGCAGTTCTCTTTAATTAAACTTTAATTAATTAAACCTCCCTTACCTCTTCATTTATCTTGTTTCCGAAATTAACAATCTCACATTTATGTGATTAATAATCCATTAGTAACAGCAACAGCATTAATAATTTCAAAAAGCAAGATTTCTACATTGATAATTATTGTAACATATTGCGTAGATTCTACCTTAACAAATAACTTTGCTGGACCCGATTGACGAGAGTCTCGGCATGAGCAGGAGCAACGAAAGTGGTATATCGTTAGCAACGCCGCCAACGATCCACGTCGGGCCTATCGTCACGCCGGGGTCCAACGAGACCATTTCCATCGTGATACCGTTGTCAGCGCAGCTGGCCGCGATGGCTAGTCAGAAAGTCGACAAGAACTGCAAGGATTGCAGCAAGGACGCGAAACGGCCGGTCCCAGGCGTCAATCCCCCTCGAAGGTACGGGAAGCAGAGAGATTTTTTTCCATTAATCTTTCCACAATCTGTGAATTCCAGATCCCTCGGTACGATCTGAAAATTACATGGGTGAAATGTGAATAACATATGTTGTACACATGTTGAGTCAGATACAACTTTATCCCGTGGGGATATTCCTGAAATAGAAGTTCCATTTTGTTGACTCATAGATTTCTTAATAATGAAATTTTCAGAATTTCCAGATCTTTCAATGTCTCAGTCGCACAATTTTTTGACACAATTTTTTTTTAATCAAAAATTAATTTCGACTTCTATCTTACCAATTAAAATCAATGAACGATTGCTATTGAATAATGTTGCGTCCAGCTATATGTAAAGCGTCGTCTGCAATGAGATTTAAGACTTAAGATATAAGAAAATTAATCACAGTCGATTATTCATCTCACGCGAGAAGAATAATCGTTTGTAATTGGTTAACTTTCTTAAATCTTAAGTCTTAAGTCTCATTGTAGACGACGCTTTAAGAGAGAGAGAGTTTAACGTTGGAAAGCTCAAGTATATTCTTTTCTCTCCCAGCCCGAGGAACGACAAAGCGAAGGGCTGTCCCTTTCCCACATGCGCGCGCTATGGACGAGCGTTCTCCAGGGCGCACGATTTGAAGCGGCACATAGCTCGGCACTCGATGCGCAAGGAAAAGCTGCAGCACACCGACCAGCACAAGGTCGACATCGAGAACGCGGCGAGCGACGCGACTTTACGCGGCGCCCTTCTGCGCGGCGCGGAGAACAAAGGCGGATATCCCTGTCCGCGATGTAAGAAGAGGTACAACGATGAGGACAAGCTCCGAGCCCATCTGATCTCACACAGCAAAGTACGTCTTATTCGCAGTTCTTTAAAAAAAAAAAAAAAACTTGCACCTCGTTAATCACCGGAGAACATCACTGAAACAATCTCTCTATATAGATCTTTATGCGATAATTGGAGCAATAGCAGAAAGAATATTGAAAGAGTCCATAATTTCTAGCCAAAGAATAAGAGCGAGACGTTCATGTTTTGTATTTCAATTTACATATAAATCATGTATGTGTGTTATTATTTGTCTAGATGTCAAAGAACAATCACATGAAGCACGAGGAGCACGCTAGGAGTCACGCTACGCTGCAGGGTCAAGTGATGATGGACAAGTCCTCGACAACGAAAAACGAGGACGACTTTCTTCTGGAGGAGATGCTGCTGCTGAAGAAAGATCCACGAAGGGCGGATAAGAACGACTCGAAGATTAGATGCGATTACTGTTCAAAGACTTTCAAAACCAAATGGACTCTGAGCTCGCACGTGGCCGCCCACGAAGGCCGCTTCCAGTTCGACTGCGGTCAATGCGGCAAGAAATTCGTGAGGAAGAGCCACTACGAGGGCCACGTGCGCTCTCACGAGGCCGCCAGGCCGTACGCCTGCGAGCAGTGCGGCAAAACGTTCAAGGAGCTCAAGCATCGTCGTGAACACACCAAGCGGAAGCATCCGAGTAATCAGAGCGCAATACAGAGTTTATTAGATAGCATCGGGCCGTGCGCGGCCGAGGAGGCGAACATTGATCAGGCCAAATTCACTTTGTTAATGCCAGTCAATTTCGGCGCATAAGGAGTCGGAGGAGGCCTTCGTCTAAACAGGTCACTGTGGATCCTTCATGTTCAACTAACTAAGAGCTTGATTCCTTGAGAACTTTTGAAACGACGGGATCCAGATTTAGAGTGTGCATCCTTGTTACCTTGGGCCTTTTGGTACTTTGGCTGTTTGGTACTTTGGATGCTTCGGAAGTTTGGATCCTTGAAATTTTGATTATTTGGAGGATAGACTTGCAATTTTGAATGCGTGGAAAAATCGGATCCTTACTTTGGATCATTACTTTAGATCCTTTTGAATTTTGGTTGTTTGAGAGATGGAATCTTTTAACAATTTGAATTTCTTGAAGCAGTTGAAAATTAAAAGTTTCAAGAAGTTTCTTAAAAAAATTTTAAATATATTACATATATATATATATAATATTATTTATATAAATTGAATTTTTGGATTGATAACATCTTATAAATTCAAGGTTCTTCAATTCATTTGGATCTTCAAATTTTTGAAGGCTTCAATGAGGTGGAATTTACAATTAAAATTTTCATAATTCCAGTATCTCTAAACGACCAGAAAGTAATATGTCCAAACAATAATTTTTTCAAGTCGATTGATAAACAAGAACTTAATTTAATAATTAATGAATCAAAATCATGTGAACATTATGCTGATTATATTCAATTATTCTATACTTTACGAAAAAAAAATATATATATATAAAATAAATATTAAGTCAGTAAAATTCTTATCTTATATTTACTTCGATTTCCTTGATTTCCACATCTGCATCTATTTTATACAAATTCTTTAAAAGAAAAAATATAGCATTATATATTTATAAAAATTATCTTTTCAGAAACAGAAAAATAATATTGAAACGTTTTTATACGAAGATAATTCAATGAAATGATTAATTGAAAAAATAATAATTTAAAGACAATTATTTAAGCTAATTATATGTATAATGATATAAAATATAATAAGGAAATAAGATCACGTGAATTTTATTACAATTGATAAAAAAAGGAATTTAAAAAAGGAAAAAATCTCCGAAAGAAAAATTAGCATGTTTTTAGATTTTTGTATCATTTAGGACTTTAGGAAGAATTATATTTCGTTTCACTCACAGCTTCTCGCTTGTCTTCAGTCTGAAGCTATCATCGCAATGATAAGAGAGATTTACGATATAAAACTCTTTTGTTTTGCGCAAATTAGGGAGTTCTCACTCAAAAGATTCCTCTGCAAAATTTCGGGAATTCCTATATTTCATAACCGAGAAAAATCCCAGCGATCGTGATCGGTATGCGGGGACGCACGTGATCTTCATGATTGATCGCGATCGGTTGTGATTGCTCGCAACTGCAAGCGTGGACGATACTCGAGTCCGAGAGGAGCCAAATGAGCGCGAAACGGCGGAGAGTATTCTCGCGATGCAGACAGAACGCACGAGGACGCAAGAATGCCGCGTGCACGTTGGACACTTTACCGCCGGAAATCCTCAGCATCATTCTCAAGATGCTGCCGTTGCATGACGTTGCCTGCACCGTTCGTCTAGTCTCCAGGTAGAGATTCCTTCTACCGATCTTGCAAAACTAAAGACAACTTTAAAACTTATATGGAAAAACTCTGTTGGAATCTCATCTGCGCTTGCGATTATACGCTGAATACATATTAATGAAAAATAAGTATCGCGAATTTAATTACACAATATTTAGAAAATAAATTTTTTAAACTAATAAATTTTTAGTTTTGCTCACTTAGAGATTGTTATTTTATTAATTTGTGTATTGGTACAAACTTTGAAGACTTTACGTCTCAAAATTGGGAATTACGAAAAGAGGAATTTGACGCTTAGAAAGTCTTTTGAGCTAGCAAAATAAAATTTTCGGGTTTAAAATTTTAGAAGATCTTTAAGATCTAGCAAAATAAAATTTTCGGGTTTAAAAAATCTTTGAATTTCATTACCCTTCTTTGAAAACTTAATAAATTGTTTTTTTTTATACATCCTAAAATCTCTCTCAAGCTCTCCAACTCTCTTTTCCCTAAAGATCAAATACAAGTAACGAAATCCACTTTCTTATCTTTTCCTTGACTCTCCCTGAACAGACGCTGCTATGACATTGCTGCCACGGTATTGAACAGTGAGTTTCTAGTGGCTGGTACCAAGCTTGAGATTACAATGAAGCGCACGAAGGATATCTTGAACAACGCTAAGACTGAAATGGAACTAGTAGAGTGCAACAAAATTTTCAACGCGCTGGAACTCATTCGATGCCAATATCGGATGCTAAAGGCGGTCACCTGGCGATACACCCACCCAAGGTCTCTCTAAATTTTTCCGTCTCAAATCTTCTTTGATAGTAGCAATAACGATAATATAGAAATATTAAATAGCTCTATGTTACGTCATTGCTGTCTAAATGTAAAATCCCGCTGGTTTATTTAAGATCGTTAGATTAGTTCGAATCAATCCATTCAAAACTGTTTGCTATTAGCCTTAAAAAATTGCTCATATATGTTTAGCATTGTTTTCCATATCGTTAAGCTTTAAAAATATACGCTCTCATTCATTATTTTGCTCATCGGCGTCGAATATTTTTCCCCTCCTCGCATTTTCTCCCCATAGTCTAAATATATTTTTCAGAAGTTTTAAAGTTAGGAATTTAAAATGTATGCTATGTAAAATAAAATATAAAAATGTTATATGATATATAAAGTACAAAATCCTTAAATATTATTAATCAATCAATTTTTATTCGAATATTCTCTTCTGATTTGAAATATATCTTTGACTGGGCATTAATTTTAAGAGGAGTGCGTTAATGATACGTAAATGTATTTAAAAAAAAGAATCAATATTCCCCTTGCTTATTTTATTCATGTGTTGAAAAGGTCGCGCGGCTTACCCATCTCGTGTTTCTACGGCGGCAGGATCCTCGATAATCTCAACTGCCTGCTGCAGATGGTCTTCAATCCCTGCCGAGGGTCGCGCGTCTTCAGTTACGTCGACCTGCAGATCTTCGTGCGCACTTGCGAGAACTTCATGGATCACTTCGAGAAAGTTACCGAGCGCAAAGTAAACGGGTAATATGTCCCCTTCCTTTCGTCATCCCGTCTCGGAACAGTTTCTCCATCACCATTTAATTTTTGCGATCATTTATTAGCGACGATCAATCGATTAACGAATCAACAATCGTCGATCGAATAATTATCACTCACGTTCGTTTAACCAATGATCAGTAAAGACAAATCGTCAATAGATCTGCGCTGATCTCGGGATGCAAGCTCGTCGACGTGCTGGACTGTCTGGAGGAAGGTAGGCAGGTGCTGTCCTTTAGGATTTCATCGAGGACAGACAACCCTGTGGTAAGGGATTCTTGAAGATATTCAGTGATGGACTCAGGGAACTATTTTGAATACGTGACGAAAATCGTTTAAATATCATTCGAAGCTAAAAAACTTTTTTAATTTTGAAATTCTGAAAGATTTCAAAACGATTTTGAATGTTTTATAAATATGTTTCTTCTTCTACATTTATATTTTATTATCTCAATCCAATCTCCGCTTTATACATAAACTTAAGAGAAACATATTTTTAAAGAATTTTAAATTTAATTTCTGATACTGAAAGCGCAAAGATATTTCCAAAATCATCGCAAAGATAGTTCTAAAGAAATTTTCCAGAGTTTCGAGACATTCAAAATTTTTTAAGATTTTTAAGAATTTCTCGTAAAGCAAATCTAAATTCAAAAATTAATCACCTTCAAAATTTTATCACCTGAAGATTTTGCAAAAAGAAAATCGAGAAAGATTATCGATAATAATATCTCTTCAAAATATCATATGAACATCTCTTGGGTGAAGAACTTTCAAGGCAAAAATTAGAGTTATGAAAATCTGAATTAAGTTACAGCCTATGGATATGATTAATACATACTATATAAATATGGCTCCTAAAATCCACGACTTATTGTTAATTTTCCAGGTCAGCATGCATCTCAGATACGTCCTAAAACGCACGTGGTTCACGTGCTTGCGGGTGCCTAATGCAAGTAACGAGTATTCCTGGCGGGACAAGCAGCGATACATGTATCTGAGATTACGCCGGCTGGTCAGCAGCTACAACAAGCATCTGTTCCATAAGCTGCACCACGAACGCAAGCTGATTCTTCAAGCGACGGTTCGTAAAACTTTAACGTGGTCGTTGAACAACAGCTGCCCAGACAGCCGTCCTCTAGAAAGCGAAATTTGTAGTGCCGTCAAGTTATCAGTTGTCACGTGGACGGTGTCTGTTGATTTATCAAAAACTTGATTACATTAGCGAAAAAAACACACTTTTTCCGACGATTTTGACAGACGCGTCGTTTTTCGCACGTTTCCAGACGCCGTCGTTGGCCGAGTCCCGAAGACCGCCGCCGGCCTCCACGTATTCGGGATACGGCGAGTACGGGGGGCAGTTCTTTTATTACGGTAACATGAGCAAATACGCTTACGAGAATAGATTCAAGTACACGAGACCGAGTAGCGCGGAGAACACCGGCGGGGAGCTCGAAGAGGAGACCAATAGGCCGCCCTGCTTCGATTTAGTCATTGGAATCCAATTAAGGCAATTCAACACGAATAAAACAATTATTTGTAAAAATCATGGTAGTTGAAAAAGTTGTCGAAACTCTCCCCAAGTTCTCTCCCTGCGGACAGTTCGTTTTAAGAGCCCTTCTCGTCTCTCCTTAAACTGTAACTGTAACGAAAATGAAGCTACTCTCTTCTGGTTTTCGAAAGTAAAGTCCTCCTTTATGAACTGCAAAATATTTCAGATACTGTTAGAAATAATTTGATCTCCTGGTTTAGTTCAATATATCTTACAAAATAATCATTTAATAACGACGAGTATGATTTTCTGCGAAAAACAAAAGTTTCTAATATTACAGTAATTGTCGCATAATGTGAATAATATTACTGTAAATAGAGAAAATTAGCGATTGTCCGACGAATACAACTTCTCGATTAAATTTCCGAAGTTTGCATTCCTCTCGAGTGCAGACAAATGAAGAAACTGTTTGTCAATCGTGATTATATCAGTTTAGATGCTCGCCAGAATTGGCGCCGCTAGCGGCAGGGACGAGTCTGAAAACTGACAGTCTCGAAGGCTGCGGTACGAACTCGTCGCATCAGGAATTGTATCTGAAACTAAGCGCAAAATGCGCGGTGTCCAGGATCAACAGACTGCCGGATACCTTCACCTGGGAGGTGCGTGACCCTCAAAGGAACCGCATGCAATATCGTTGAATCACGTATACATTCCTATATCTATGTACAATATTTAGCGACTAGATCGACTTTTGTTGTTGTGTAACTGAAGATCAAATAAAATGGTCCGCACGTTTTATTCAAATGTTCAGGTTTTCGAAGCCTCTCTCCAATAATTTTATTATAGATAAAAATGGATATAAAAATTTAATTTATCTCGATGTTACATGTAATATTGCACGGCAAAAATTTATACGCGCGATTACTAATATTCATAATCTATTTCTTCTAATATTTATCCAATCTAACGATAAGAAAATAGCTACAGTCAAAGAATAGGGGCCTTAATCTCTGTAACGCGACAAAAAGGTCAAAGAACGATACGATTTAAATTAAAGTCAAATGACTTTAAGATGCGTTTATTTACACGAAAAAAATTTCTTAAATAGCTAAATGAATATATATTTAACTTGCGGACGCCGTCACGCTGACCGCTTCGTCCTCCACTTGAGGCTGCCACGTGGTGATGTTCAATTTCTTAGCGCGTTTCTCCAGGATACCGTAGGCAAAATGATTAAGCATAATACCTTTGGGCAGGGCAATGCCCTGAAAGCGATACAGACCGTCCACGGGCCCGTCTGTGAGCCTGTGTATCGACGACACAGTAACGCGTCCAATCAGACCGCTGTTGCCCACCATGGGACCCTTGCTGATATCCACATGGTCCCCCATGCGATACAATGTTATCTTATCGTTGTCACTGTCTTTGACGATATTCGGTATCTGCTGGGACTTAAAAGGATTGTCCTGGAAGCAGAGAAGTACAATTTACTTTTTGAGTAGTTCTAAAAAAAAATAGTACTTAAGTTTTGTAAAATAATATCCGACACTTTCGTCGAGTTTTATAAAATAAAATAGTACTTAAGTTTCGTAAAATAATATCCGACACTTTTGTTGAGTTTTTATAAAATAAAATAGTACCTAAGTTTTGTAAAATAATATTCGACGCTTTTATCGAGTTTTATAAAATAATACCCGTCCACTTTTAACACCTTTATCATAGTAATCCCATGATACAATTGATTTTGATTTAAAGTTGTTGAAGAAACGAAAAATCCTTTTATAAAATGCTTCAATTTTTGCAAAACATTTGTGAATTTTACAGTAAATTAGCAGAAAGTTAAAAAATGTATTTAATGTATATTAATCTTATAAACCTGGAACGTTACAAAATTATTCCATACGCATCAATGTGATATACGTAAAAATTGTGTATTGGCTCGTATTTAGAGCAAAATTAGAAATCAAAGAGAATAGAAGCTAATAAAAGAGAGCAAAAAGAGAATACAATCACGTAATTCAATTTGACAAAGCGAAACATTTCGACTTTACTAAGTCTTTAGCCGAAAATACAAATTTCATCAAAATATTACATTAACGTTTTCGGTTTTTTTTTTTTAATAAGGAAAAATTCATTTTTGCTCATTTTATCGGTCTCTATTCTCTTCTGTTTCTGATTTAGTGATATATGTAAATTCCAAGTTATACATAAAAATATCAGACTTAACAACTTGCGGTCCGCAATCAAATAATCTTATTGCCGTCTCTACCTGAAACATGTTCAGCGCAACGTTGCACGGCACCTCCAACCGTTCCAGCGACAATTCGCGATTCGCCAGTTTGACGAAGAGCGCGGACATGGCGCGTAACTCCGAGTCGGTCGGCCGCCAGTCCGGCAGATCGATGAACGCGTCGTGGGTGAAGCTGCCGGAGGTGATCACCGGGATGGGAAAGCTGTGCAGGTGCACGTTCACGTTGTCCTTGAACGCGCTGTCCGCCACGGCGCCCAGGGCCAACGAGCAGGTCCGCCAGAAGGCGTAGTTGACCGCGCGCACCCGCGGGTTCTGCATGGTCACCAGCTGCAGCTCGCAGTCGCCCGTAAACGGTCTGTGCATGTCCCAGACCTGACCGTCCACCAGAGCGATGGCGGACGTCTTGGCGACGTCCTCGGATATATGCCTGGCGCAGTCGTGCGGCGTGGAGATGTTCCGATTCATCGCCATCACGATCTCCTCCTCCACCGACTTGTATTTCACCTCTATCTTCTGAATCCTACCCAGTTCCGATCGCTGCCGCCGCTTCTCCTCGTCGAAAAGCTGGCTCCTCCGTTTCCTCGCCTCCGCCTTGGACAGTGTGCCGGTGCATCTCGACGACGCGATCTGCGCAGGTAACCTCAGGCCACTCGCACAGAACCTCCTGCATCTACGTAATAAATTATTCTTAATTAATACGAATAATCAGAGCTAAAATTTATAAATAAGTCAGGATGAAGGCCAAAGACGAGCGAAAGACAGGTGTTGGTAAAATTAAAATTATTTAATATTAAAGTTATATATAAAAGTCATATTTCAAAAGAAGACATTTGTAGTTCGCTTGCCTTTGTCCTGGCTTATTTATATTTATAATAACGAGCTGGTGTAACTTATCTGTTTAAAATTTATAATATATATTTATATGTAATAATGATTAAATATGATTCTATAATATATATCTGTATAAACACATTATAAATAACATTGGCTTGATCAGGATTGTCTGTTAACAGGTCTGTTAAATCGTTTCACATCTCAAGACAAAGGAGGCCAATCTCACCACCTCCCCAGTAGCTTAAATCAGTATATTACATTTAAGAATTGCTAACTGCAAATTTAAAACTGATCGTATTATTTCATTTTTCTTTATCCATTTGCTACAAATTATAATGTATTTATGTCTGAAATACGTTCTGCAATTAGTAATTTTTAAATTTAACCAGCTGATTTATTTAATAATTTATCAAGGTAATCGGAGAGGTGAGACCGGCGCCCTAGTTTTTCAAAAGTTCCTCAGTTTGTTGTCCTGGCTTATTTATATTTATAATAACGAGCTGGTGTAATTTATCTATTTAAAATTTATAGTATATATTTATATATAATAATGATTAAATATGATTCTATAATATATATCTGTATAAACACATTATAAATAACATTGACTTGATCAGGATTTGTCTGTTAAATCGTTTCACATCTCAAGACAAAGGAGGCCAATCTCACCACCTCTCCAGTAGCTCAAATCAGTTTATTACATTTAAGAATTGCTAACTGCAAATTTAAAACTGATCGTATTATTTCATTTTTCTTTATCCATTTGCTACAAATTATAATGTATTTATGTCTGAAATACGTTCTGCAATTGATAATTCTTAAATTTAACCGGCTGATCAAGCTTAATCGGAGATGGTGAGACCGGCGCCCTAGTTTTTCAAGAGTTCCTTACAATCGGCAGAAATACGACTATTGATAAACACGGGCCTTAAAGCGTGAAAGTCTTCAATTCTAAAAATGCAGACAATTCAAATCAATTAATACTCAAACAGATTTGGATTACATTATTCAAAAATTTCGTAATACTTTAAATAACAGTACCCGTGGAACATGTTGAGGTTAAGATGTTGCAGAGTAGACTTTCGCAGATTCTGTTTGATGTGAGCATTTACTTATATAGAAAACATCGAAACGATTTTTCACACGTGCACGCAAAGACTGTACTGTGTTATTTAGTTAGAATTGCGGCGTTTGGAAACTATAATGGGCAGTAACGGTAACAATAAAAACGTGCTTATTTTTCAATTGTTAGACAGAGAGAAACCATGTGTGGCATGAGTGTCAATCCACAATGAGGATTTTAAGTCCCTAAGCAATAAGAGATGGACCAATCGCAGTCGAATGTGAAGAGAATGATCGATTACGATTGGTCAATTTCTTACGGCTTAAAATTTACCTACACATACTGTGTTTCGGGACTTAGGGGAAAATATTCGAGATAGCTTGGCAACGCTGATATTACTGAACACCTGATCGGTCTGATATGTTGAAAGAGAAAAAAAAAATAAGGTGGAACGCACGAAGTATGTGAATGAATGTACATTATTTGTTATTAATTAAGTTAATAAAATGAAATAACATGTGATAATCATCATGATATATACGTCATGTATGCGAATATATGTGTAAGTAATTATATATAAATTATGTATAAACAAACTGTAAATGTTTTGATATTCACATAATTGACTGTTGTCATATGATCAACAAGAACAATCTTCAGGAAAAAAAAACGAAACAGTATCATTTAATGCTTTTTAATTATTAACGTAATCCGTTTTGGTATCGTAAAATAGTATGCTTCAATTTTATTCTATTTTGAATAAAATTCGGAGTTGCGCAAAGCTATTCGGAGGTGGTCGATTAATTATAGATTGTTACGCATCCATCAACAAAATCCACTGACTGTTAAAAACTATGCCCGTTCCATCACGTGTAAATCACATAACATAATTATATAATATCCTTCTTTTAGATTTATTTAAGCGAGAATTGCGAGTCTTGAACACATGGTGCGGAAAAGCGGAGTATGATATTCCTCAAGGAATTCGGGAGATGCGCTGCGACGAGCGAGAAATGCCCGAATTGCGGACAGCCCGCGAACACGTCCTTCTCGAGGCTCGTGAAAGACAGCTGCGGCCACACCAAGTGCCGGATGTGCTTGCTGTACGAGGAGCATGGATGTAAAATCTGTCAAACCGAACATTGCGCTCAGAGAAAAGGTGTTCAGCATTATTTAAGTAAATAGCTTTTGAGTTTTCTGTTCTGGCCGATAAAATATAATTTTTTTTTTTTTTTCAATTTGATTTGGATGATGAGTAATTTTTTTTTCTCCTGTAAAATATTTCGACAGACGCGGAAGAGCCACATGTTACGAACGGAGAGCTGAGTCAAGACACGCGGAAATCGTCCAGCGAGGAGATCGTGCTGCCGTTAGAATTGGTCATCAATAAGGATTCCAAGTCCAAGGAAAGTCATTCGGACTCGAACTCCGCCGAGGGCGGATCGTCGAGTCTCTACGAGAGCATCGAGCGTTTCGACAGCAACGAGGAGACCTATGAAACTGTAACGAACGACACCGTCACTAATGACAATTCCAGCGAAGCGTACATTCCAAGAATAGAGTCTTACGACGTAGAGTTGAGCATTCAGAATCATTTGAGAAATGACAATAATTGTGATAATTCGAAGAATCCACAGAATCCACCGCATATAAAAAATGTAGGTGCCAATCTAATTTCTTAAAAGTACAATTATCTTATGTATTTTTACTGATAATCTATTATATGTATTTTTTTATTGATATGCACAAAGATTTTATCACTACTGTTGTATACGCAAATTAAATTCAACTGGAGGATAGAATTATCGGTGAAGTAGAGCGGCAATTCTTTGCGTAAATTGATCGACTGTATTCCTGTCTTTCTTTTTCTTTACAGGACAGCAGTCAGGTGAAAACGAAAGTCGGCAAGGAGGTCGCGGAGAAGAGCAAAAACGTCAAATGTAATCGTAGTCACATAACAATACTACCAGGCATCCCGGAAAGATACAAGTGCAACGTGTGCTGTAAGATCTTCCGCAACAAGAAGGGCAAGTGCTATCACGACGCCTGCGTGACGGGTGTCAGGCCCTATCAGTGTAACCTGTGCGACAGGAGTTTCGTCAAGCGCTCTCACTTCGAGTATCACGAGAGGGTTCACAGAGGGTATAAACCGTACAAGTGCCATCTCTGCGAGAAGGCTTTCCCTCAGCAGAACAAGCTCAACAGACACCTGCTTTCTCACAGCAGTAAGTGCGCTTCAGAATTATTCAATTACAGCAGATCGATATTAATAAATTAATAAATATCGATATTACTGATCATAGAAATTATAGGCATAAATAGGTTTTTTAAATTGTGAAAAAATGATGTACTATATGGCGTATATCCATGATTCTTCCGAATTCCTTGAGGAATATCATACTCCGATTTTTCGCACCATGTGTTCAAGACTCGCAATTCTCGCTTAAACAAATCTAAAAGATATTATATAATTATGCTACGTGATTTACACGTGGTAGAACGGGCATAGTGTCATTCATGAAATATTATCTTGAACAATCTTTTTTTTTTTTTAATTAATTTTGAGAAATTAATTTTAGAGTTGTTTAGTTTGTGGAGTCAACAAAGATAGGAAAAATTCTCTGTAAACATAAAGATAAAATATCAGAAAGATAAGATGTTATCTTTAAAAATAAATCTCCTATTTCTTGTTATAAATTCTTATGAATTGTTATAGCTTTCGTAAAGAATAATAATATAATGTGATCTCGAAATGCCGTTGAATGCGAAAAAATTTAAAAAATAGTCCAAAATGTAACTATAAAATATATTTGAAATGTCTGTCATTGGTTTTCAGATATTTATCGCAGAAAATAAATAAAAATTGAATTTTATCAATAATTCTTATTACTAGATAAACTTTCTGTCTCAAAAATATAGTTATTCAAGGCAATATTTCATGTGATAATAATATAGGAATCACTCCTAGGCATTTGTATAATTGTAATTACATATTTTAGAGGAGAAAAAATTTATATGTCCCGAATGCAATAAACGGTACAGTAAGAGGGATGACTTAAAGAATCACTTAAGCATACACAATTCGACGACTATATATAAATGCAAGTCCTGCGACAAGTCTTTCCGCATATTGACTAATCTGAAACGCCACATGCAAACGCATACGAGTAAGTAACAGAAGAAATCTTTTCTCTTTCCCACCCAAATTATATGCTTAAACAGAAATATGATTTTTAAAACCTACGGCGAAGAATTATTTCTCTATTTCTTTTTGATTTTCAAACGAATTCATGATACGATAAGGAATGAACTTTGTCATTACAGGCGAACGGCCGCACAGGTGCGATCAGTGCAATAAGAGTTTCAAAGACAGATCTTTGTTAATACGGCACAAACGGACCCACGGGAAAGAGAGGCCATTCTGTTGCGCCCACTGCAACAAAGTTTTCCTGTCGAAGAGCGAATTGAGACGGCATTTGACTGTGCATTCAGGTGCGTCAAGTATCACACTGTTTTTTTTTTTTTTACACGGACAGACAGAGATTGTCTCGATCGGAATTCGCGAGCTCGCTCGTTTCTTCCAGATGAGAAACCGTTTTCCTGCGAATACTGCCAGACGCTGTTTAGACGTAAGGACAACCTGAACCGGCACATCAGGCACCATCACACAACCGAGGACGGTTGCGAGGCGCGCAAAAACATAACAATGCCGATCGTCGAAGCGGACCAGGCGAAGGGCGGCCAGCAAGGGCGGCAGAGGCAGAAGTCGAGGAAGGCGCAGCCGAAGGGCGCCGCGGCGTGTAACGCGAACTCCCGCGAGCAAATCAACTCGCGGCTCGACCCCATGGGCAACATTACGCCCGTGATAAGGGCCACGAGCGAGGTGAGTAACGCGGTGCCGGTGATCAACGGGCCTATCAACATCAGGCGACTGGAGGACCGGACCGACCGGAAGATCTTCACGTACACCGAGCCGATCCCGATCGCCGAGGCGGTGGTGCTCAACTGCCGGATTGAGGAGAAGCTGTACCCGCAGAGCGCTAGCAGCCACAATCACTTCGTGCGCAGCTACCTCAGGGACCGAAACTCCAAGGTGAACTCGTATCCCAACGACACGCGGGCGTCGCAAGATAATCACAACAATTTCGCGATGACCGCGTCCTCGCAAACTGAGGCCGATCTTCCTTTAAGAGCGACGGAACATCCCACGGCCGATGTCCGCAGGGAGAGGCTCCCGAGACGCGAGGAGAAAGGCGGCCGGGGTGAGGGCGAAAATGAGAAGGGGGACGAAAGGTATCGCGAAGGACGAAGGAATTTCGAGGATCCGAGCACCGTTTCTTTCCTAGAATCCAACTGCGTCTCTACGATCAAGAAACACACTACACAGCAGTCGGAGGGATGCTCGAGCAAAAATTCAACGAATATCAGCAATTTGAATGCAACGAATCACACGACACTGCCAAAGGACTCTCAGGACAATCGCGGAAAGAAGCAGAGCGACATGCACTGGAGACGCAGAATTGCGGAGACGCTCAAGCCGTCCTGATCTCACGCAAATCGGCTCCTTCATGTGCTGACGGTCAGAATTCAAGTGAACTCGGCGGCAATTCTGGTGAAAATTTTTCTTACAATTCGTCATATAACTTTTCAGAATTTCTACATAAATTTTAGAATGTTTCAGAATTTCAGTATGATCTTGTAATTTTAGAAAAATTTTCAGACTTTTTATACGTGAATTGAAATACTTTTGAAACGATGAAAAAAATCTACACCTTTTCTAGAACTTTTTATTCTGAATTCTGAAATATTTTAAGATTTCTAAGATTTCTCATTCAAAAAAAAAAGCTTATAAACTCTGAAGACGTTTAAGGTACTTTTTCAGAAATCTTCAAAAATATAAAATATGGGAAATTCATAAAAATATGAGACTCAATGAGAATTTTTTTCGCCAGAATAATGCACGAGGTGTGCAGTACAATTAGCGAGAAAACATATTAACTTACAGTAAACTTACACTCTCTTATAGTAAATTTTTTATAATGAAATTACGACTGAAACAGGTTATCGTACTTTGCACTTTTCTAAATATATAAATTATATTGGCTTAAGTCATCGCAATATACATAGGTACGGTTTACAAACTTCACTGAATGGCTTACAAATCAAGACTGATTATGAAATACTGATTACGTGGCGCCCAATAATCAAAATGAAAATTGTGAATGAGAGAAATAAAACATGAAATCCATACAGGAAATATGGATGCACTTGAGAAAATAACGTCATAACAATTTATTGGTCATCCTCTCTCTTGATGAAAATTCTTAAAGTCAGTTTACACTATAAATAGAGGCAAATTTTAGCATATCGTTTATATAATTATTATTACTGATGATTTATTTACAATAATTAAATTACTTTCACAGTAATTGCATCGCGAATTAAATTACCTTTGCATCAGCCTTATGTAGACATTAATTAATTAGAAAAAAAGGACACATGCTAATTGTTGGCGCATCGTTAATTTAACAAGATTTATTCTTGTCTCTTAGCACTAACTCTTATTGAACGCTTATAGACGTTGCTGGAAAAATTTTACAGAATGAGAATTTGCAGGATAAAGAGTTTTTAACAAATTTTGTCACTATATAAAAATGAATATTAATACACTTTTAAATGAACACGTTAGAAAATCGTCCCTTTTGCAGTTAGTTTTTCTCGTTATATATATATATTTTTTTTATTTATATGTTCTTATATATAAAAATATAACAGTACAAAAAGTCACTAATGATTCAACGAAAAAAAATTATCAGGCGTGTCGAATACGACGACTTTCGCAAAACGAGTATTAAATTGAGGACTGCCTATTAAAAAAAAAAAAGATTACTGATTCACCGGATTTATAGAAAGTTAGAGGGACGGAATAATTTGAGTAAACTGAAAAATTCGTGGACCTAAGGATCTATTCGTAGTCCTCTTCATCGGGTCGGACTTGAACTTGAGGGAACCGTCTGAGAACCTGGTGGTGGTGCTGTTGCTGCTGCTGCTGCGGCCGTCTGTGCTGAAGGGGTATATTGACTTCCTCGGGGCTGCGGAATACCTGGTTTATCGGGAAACGAAACTGCGGGAGTCCTGTAGGCTGCGGACGGGCCGACGTGGGGATGCTGTTCAAACTTGGCTGTGGACTCACAAGGACCTGTACAAGACCTAACCGTTAACGTGTCAATACGGTCGCTCGAAAGAGGATCGTATAATAATATTTTATTTCACATTGAATTTCACGGATAAGTAGAAGCGGTGAACAAGATAAAAAGATCTGCCCATGTAACATTCAAAAGCTCGAAGGAACACCTTCATTTAATTTTGACATGTGAAGCTTTAATTTAAAAAATTCCAGAATTTCGAAATTCTGCAGTTTCAAAATTTGAAAAGTTCAAAATCTTATCGATCAAAGATTTTAAAGCTGCAGAAAATTTCAAACAAAAGGAAAAAAAATATTTCAAAATTTAAAACTGCGAGACACTAAATTATAAAGCCAAAATTGTGAAGTTTCAAAGTTTCGAAATTTTAAATTTAATTATTTCATTGTACACTCTATTAAACCAGATTGTGTGAAATACGATTGGTTTTTTGAAGAGTTCCTTGGCAGAAACGCAATGGGACATACTGAAATCCCAGATTTGAAGATTCTAAAATTACGGAGGCACTGTTACGGCTTCTACTTCCGATCACGGGAGAAATCGTCATAATTCATGGATGCGATGATCATACCTGCGGGGCAGGACGACGCACCGGGGCGGGCGTAGGGGTGATCTGATAATCACCGACCTCCCTTTCGTCCGCGTAAATGTCCGAGGGATAATACCTCTCGCTGTATCTCAAAGTGACATTGGGCTTGGTCTCGGCTTCTTGGAGATTCAGCGGCTTGTACAAATACTCATTGACGAAGTGGTACTGCGAGCTCTTCTTACAGCTGATGTCGCCGCTGGGTGGCATGCAGATTAGATGCACCTGATTCAGTGACGTAATAACATGTATATTTCAATTTTAATTAGAATCAAACGCATAGTGAGCGATATTTTTCTCAGTAAATCAGATTTAACAATATAAACGGCAATCAGAATATCATTAACAGAATATCTCTATCCGTCAGATACTTAAAAAAATAAAAAAATAGGAAAGGTATAGCGGTCTCACTGACTTGATGGAAAGTGAAGCCTTCGGGACAGATCCACGAGTGCTTGGCGTTGTCTTGACAGTAGTGGAAGACCTCGCAGTTGAGGTCCTCGTCAGCGTAGTAGCCGGTCTGCTTGTCGACGCAGTCGAATCTGCTTTGGGGTAGAAGAAGGCTGAGACGATCGGGCTCCTCCTTCTCCTCCTCGAGTTCCTCCTGGGTGGGCCCACCGGGACCGAATTGCTGGGGCTGGCCACCCCGAGCGGAGGCGCGCGACGGAGAACTGACCACGCGGATGGCCTGAGTGTAATCGCGATTGTCTATCGGCGCCGCCGTTGGCTTGCGATACAACTGCAATTGGTGCAGACAATTTAATATGAATAATTTAACAGAAATTAAACGCAACACGCGTAGATATATATATATATATATATATATATATATATATAAATTGTATGTATAGTTTTCTTTCAAAACTCACCGGTTGTTGACTCCTGTAAATTGGCGTCGGCGACGGCGTGGGCGTCACTGCATTGTCCTCGTAACTGCTATCACGGAATCCCTGGGCCGAGCTCAAGCCGGCCGAGTAAAGTGGTCCTAAGCTACTTGGCTTCCCGGGAAACGAGACAGCCCTGGTTTCTAAGTCGTAAGAATTCTGCGCCGCAATGGCGGAGCTAAGCAATCCCAGGAACACCCAATACATCCTATAAAATATGGAGAATATTCATAATTTAATACAAGAAGAAAATATAACGTAAATATAAATTTGCTTAAGTAAATATATAGAGGTAATAATTATAGGTAATAATTATAGGTAAAAAAATAAAAAAGACCTACGACTTTAAATATATATATTGAATTTTTTTAATTATTATATTTTATTATATTATATTAGATAACAGATTATTATATTTTATTAAATTCTTATATAATTTTAACATATTATATTAGATTTATAATTTTAACATATTATATTAGATAACAGATTATTATATTTTATTAAATTCTTATATAATTTTTAGTGATTAAATTTCTTGGAAATTATTTATATACTTTATATTTATATATACATAAAATCTAATTTATTAGAAAAATTTCCTTATTTTTTACGTTATACTTATTATGCAATGCAATTACACTGACTTACGAATTCCGTTCGAATTTCCATCGTATAGTTGAATTATTCGCGCGTCGCGCCACACGCGATTTCGAATTAGAATATTAGATTAAACGACGGTATTATGTTACACTTTCGATTTTGCGGCCTTTTGATACAAATGGCTGCATTTTGAGGATATCGATGGCCAAGATCACTTTCTCTCGCGTGTACACGCGCGTGCGTGCGTACGTGCGTACGAATTTAATGGACGACGATTTGCGAGAAAGTACGGCAGTACGTATACGCGGCTGCGATTTCTCAAATAAATGATCTTTTTCTGCTGTAATGGCACTATGGTGTTGTACGATTACGATCCAATTTCGTATCTCAGGTTTAAACTACCCAGGGTCATTGCCCCGAGAGAGTCCTTCGCGGAGAGCTTTTCTTTTCATGCAGACGCGATAATCTATAGAAAATCGCAATAGCATCTCGTCATAACTAACGCGAAAATTGGAGTTTTACATTTATGTTGTAATCATTTTGTAATAATCATTTTTTCTAATCGTTTATTTTAGATTCAATCTTTAAAGCAAAGTGCCTTAAAGAAAATTAGTTCAAAGAATAGCAGATTGCTTCCTCAGAAATTATGAAATCATAGCAAAACGCAAGGCACTCCCGAAATTTTCGAACCTGTCTTCAATGAGAGAAAACTCCTAAAAAGTTTTAGTAAATTTTATATTACAAATTAATTTTCTGCATTCGAATAGTAAATAATATCTAAACTATATTTCTCTTCCTAAAATAAATTTACAAATTTGATCTTCAATTTCGCCTTCGTTTGATCATACAACTCCATTAAGCAATGCTTAAAAAATTTTCAGATATGTAATGGCATTTTTTAATTTGTATGTGCATGTATGCATGTGTGCGTGCATGTGGGTGTAAATATAAACAATTGTCTGCTTGATTGCATTAATTTTATATCTCTGATTTTTGACAGTTCATATTTTAATGTTTAATAATTTTATTTTTTATCTTTTTCTTTTTAATTATTTATGACATGTAATTTTATATATTTGATGTAATTTGTTTTTTACCTGTTTTTTTTTTTAGAAAGATGAAAGATCTTCAAATTTTCGGCTATATAAATTCAAGAAGCTAAATTAAGATATTTAAGTACGTGAGAGAAATGTGAAAATATATAGAGTAGATTTTTTCCTAAAATTCCAGAGAAGTTGAAAGACCTAAGAATTGATTGACAACAGAAACGTAAAGAGACTTTTAAGAACTTATTAGCGCTAAAACGTTCAATGACGCGGACAAAAATTCTTGATATCATTTATTATCGTTTCTCGTTTTTCTTGTCACTTAGCTCGAGCACCAAAGCAATTAGAAACTAGCTTTCCTATAGGTGCATGTATGCCACATGCCGTGTACGAGAATTATTATGGAAAGCACTCGAGCCCGTTGAGCACGTCATCGTCATGACCGAAATGGCTTTAACCGATCGTGAAACCGCCGTCCGAGTTTTGCACACATAGAAAGTAACACGCTTTCCTCGCACTTGCTCCTCGCAAGATCGATTCTCGCTGCTCCTATTCAAACTTCACCAATCGCCGATCGCACGTGGCCATCGGGAGCGAATTTCCTTTCGCCTTGAAATCGCTTTCAGATGATGTATTTTTTTTTTTTATAAACATAAATATACGCTCATGAAACGTGCTCGTAAATTAACTTGAGTCCAGTCCGCGTTTTCTTATCTCGAAAAATAATTTATAATTAATTCGATTATATCGCAACGTCAAATATTCACGCTCGAACAAAAACGAATGAAAGGACAGTTGCTAAAAGGCATAATAAATATTGAAACGAGATGACGAGATTTGCATCCACTCAATTTTTTTATGGAAAGTGTAAAAAAGAAGGCGAAAAACGACAGATTCGTTCATTCATGACGCAATGTAAATCTTGACTTGGCAAATATTTAATGCAATGTAAGTCTTGACTTAGCAAATATTTAATGCAATGTAAGTCTTGACTTGGCAAATATTTAATAAAATATAGGTATAGTTAGATTTTTTTAAATTTTGAAATAAGTTCAAAATCTATTGTGACATCCATTTAAAATGATAGAAATATATCAAAAATGATAAAACTAAAGCAAAAGCTGCCTACATGATGCGGATAAAATAATATTTCTATGTATTTTCAATTGTCACAGGAACAATATATATTCCACGAGGAACAAAGTTGCAAGCGTATCAAAAGGGCAACAGTTTATAGTTATATAAGAAATATAGGTCAAAGGTAAGTCACCATTTTCCACGTAATACGACGCCTTGCGTAACACCATTTTTCTGCGAACTCGAGACTCGTCGTTCGCTTCATCAGATTTAAGATTAATATCGTATGATGAATGGGTTGCAAATCGTCATTACGTAGATAAATCATTCGAAGTAATTAGGTGTATAGTAAACAAACAACATTTTCACTTCTTAAATTGTATAAATTACAAGGTGTCTGTTAAATAAATTTAAATGGTATATATATGTATATATTTAATTATATATATTTAAAGAAATTTAACTTTATTAACGATGCGATCATCCTGTCGTGACATTGCGGTTAGTTATGTTAGATCAGATTTCAAAGTAATCTTCTGTAAATGATACAAATTATGTAATGCGAATGTTATGTGAACGATAACTGAATAATCTGAATAAGTTTGAGATTTAGACATAGCACACCTGAATTTTTTATTAATAAAAAAATTTCCTCGCTTCTCATTATTTATTAAATTTATACTACTTATATAAATTAAGTAAATGTTTTTATTTTTTAATTTATTACTTGATTAAGACATTCTTTTGTTCATGATTGTAATATTAAATCTTTAAGATTTAAACATACTATGTTAAAAGAAAAATTATCAATATTCTTCAATCAGCTTTATTGTCAGAAATATTTTAGTCGGAAAAACTCAGTTTATATTCAAAAACTATTAATATTTCAAAAATATTGATTATTTATTAATCATATTTTAGTTAATTGACAAAGTGATCTAACATTAAGAATCTTAAGCAGTTAATCTATAATCGTTGGTGCAATGAAACGAAAAAAAAGAGAGAGAGAGAGTATGTGTGCTTGCGCGCACGCATGCGAGTGTGTGTATGTGTGTGTCGTATTTAAAGAAAATCCTGTACCAGTCTTTTTCCAACCATGTTCGCTAAGATCTCCAGATTAAAATCCGAGCAAAGTGAAAGTGAGAGGCGTTGGGTGTAAAAATTGCATGTAACACGTTCGACGAAACGCACGAGACATGATATTACATCAAAGTTCAGTTCACATCTCCATAAACGACACAATGGTTGGATCGATGTCAAAGATTATGAAACAGACATACATTTTTATACAATTTATCAAGGTCATGGTCACCGTTCATGGTAGACGTGATTAGAATTTTTATCTATTTGCTAGGTACTTTCTCTAAATTAATAAAAAAGTTACTTTTAGAGAAATAATAATCGAAGAAATGATACTGTAACAAATCTTTTAACATTTTTCATTTTACTTTTGAAATATAAAAGATTTATCTCAATAAAAGTTTTTTTATAAATTTATAAAAAAACTGAAGATATGAAGAAAACACAGAACAGAAAAGAAGTTGAAAAACTAATTCGAGAGAAGTCTATTTTGTTAGACATATAATTTGACGTCATTCTACTGTAGATATATTTATAACAAAAAATATAGATAAGTAAAATTGTTCGAATGCAGGACGCATATCGAAATTTCCGGTCTCAATTTCAAGGAATGCATTTAAACGTGCGCTACATTTGTGTTATTTGTAACATTTACGACGCACTAATGCGTGTACATTCTTTACACTTACGTGATTTAAATACACAAAATATATAAATTCAGATTTCCTCGAAGCCGATCGTCATGTTGATTTTAACGATCGAACTGATTGATTCCAGTTAATCGTTTTTTGCTCGTTCGATCGGTTTCTCCACAATTTCGTCATTAGGAAAATCTCGAAAACTTTCTCCGCGGGGAGCAAATCGTACGAATGATTATTACCATTGATATATAATCTCCGGAGAGGGCGACGAGATGCGTAATAATCTTTTTTTAACAAAGTCCCCGTGACATGTGTGTTCACGTTTTATATGCAGCACCAGAAGGGCGTTCTCCTCCGCGGCGGCAACTAACTTCCCGGCTGCCGCGCAAAGAAAGCAATATATTGCATAATGGAAAAAGAGATAGTTGTCCGGTAACTATCAAAGGCGGCTTGTATAGTGTAATACACATAACTCGACCGGTTGGCTTAAGGAAATCTCAAATAGCCGCCGCCGGGCAACATTTTTCCATAATTTTCTCGCTAAATACGGTGCGCCAATAAGTTCGCTTCTCATCGCCATTAATCTTGTCCCTTTTATCGGAATAATAGTTGACTACACATTGCGATGTCTTTTTAGACCGATGTCAAAATCTACCAAATTTGGACAAATCTAATAATTAATTTTTTAATAGTTGCAATCCGATTTTTAATGAAGAATAACGGCAATGAAGAAGTAAAGTAGCTTTACTTGTCGATAATT